TATTGTGTATCAAGATCAGTCCCTACTGTTCTGAGCTCATCTGTCTAGTCAGAAATCAGAAGAGAAAAAGAGATGGAATATTAAACGCTTTCAGAAAATGAGGGGGAAAGTGCACTAGCTTTTAAAGTGAAGCAGCATGTATCGTTTCGCCTTCCATTGGCTGTTTATCCAACATCAATACAACACTTTAGGAGCCAAATTACTAAACAAGCTGCCAATTAGGCTTGCAGTCAGCTGGATAGATTAGTGGCTAAGAGAGGCAGATACAAGATTTTCATCTCTTGAGCCAATTACGCAAGTGAATTACCATCCACAATGCACCTTGGAAGATTTGAGGTAGAAAGACTGACTCTGCTGTGATAGACGTGAGATCTAGGGTAGGGGGTAAGGGTTAGCAGGCCATGTATTGCAAAAATTACCCAAGCAAAAAGAGATCCTTCTAGGAAAGGATTTAAAGGATTTAAGGCTGCTGAGACCGATAGAAAAGGAAATAATAGTTGTGGAATGCTCTGCTAAGGCATTGCTGTTCTACTCCCAGGTCTTAATCATATAAAAGAAAGATGAAAGGCCAGGACTATATTTCTGTACAGTGTCATTTTCTCAGAACTGTTTAAAAAAAAAAAATTTCTTAACATCACAGAAGTTCAGTGGCCAGAGATGAAATTACTTCAGTATGCCTTAATTTGCTTCTTACAGCTTAAAAATAAAAACAGTAGTGCTTTTGAAAATAAGAATTATTTAAGAGATTGAACCTAGCTGAATTCCAGTTTTATTGACACATATTTAAACCAAACATGCTTGATATTAGTCTTACCCAGAAATTGGATCATACAAATAAATACTGTCACAATTATGGTTGATAGGGTCACAGTTCCTTTATTATTCTATAATACATGATAACTTAATTGGTGAGCTTTTAAGTATTTTAGAAGAAGCTTTTAGCAAATAAAATGTATCTGTCTGATCAAAACTATGCATAGGCTCATTTGTTTCCTGCAGAGGAGCATTGTTTCTTAAATATGAAGCAAATTTAAAACCTGAACTTTTGCAAGCTGTTGTATCCAAAAATGATTAAACAGATGTGGAGCCTGCAGCAGCATTAGACCTCTGATCTGATTTTAGCTTACAGATGGAATTAAATTAATTCATGGCAATCACTGTAAAATCAAGGGTATGGCACTGAATGCTAGTGTACTGTTTAACCAGGACATACCTGTCTCAACAGCTGTTAAGAAAAAATTGCATACCTTTATTTTTCATTGAAACTTGCCTTTAATAACATCATAAATATCATATCAAAAATTACATAAATGTGGTGAGTTTTTTTTTTTCTCTTCCTAGATTTGTTTCTTTCTTATCATATTCCATGTATGTAAGGTCATATGCATAATAAATGTAGACCTTGAAGTGTGTCTATTCGTGTGCACAAATGTTTGAGGGTGGGGCTTTTTAAAATCATTATTCTGGCTACTAGCATTGCTGAGTGAAGGGATGCAAGTGGAGGAATTTTTAAGTACTATCCTCTCAAGCACGCTACTGTTCTTCAGTATTAGGTCCTCACTTGTGTGATGGTAACTAGTCCTGCATGTAGGCTTCTCATCTGAAAGTTCAGGAACCAAATATATATAATATATATAACTGAGACATTTTCAGGCTGTAAAAAGAAAAGACTCTACATCGGGGATTCCAGCAAATTATTAATACAGGAACTTCCTCATAACTCATGCAACCCCACAATGCCCCATACAGCAATAAACTTTGAAAAATGCATCCCCTTCTCTTTTGCTTAATCTGATTTGCATAGTTATGTTTTGTGGGATGGCACAATGCGTTGATTTTGTTCTTGCTCCTGGGTGGGTCAAGACTGAACACATCCCAGAGGTACCACAGCCCTTTTCAAAGCCAGTGTGCTTGGACCATTCTCTCTGAAAGGCCCTACTGGCTAGTCCAAGAAGTGCCCTAGGCTTGAATTAAAAACTGAACTTGAAGATGAATATTACAAGGACAATTACTGATTTTAATTAGAAAATTAATGCCCAGAGCATATGAATTGGGGGTCAGGGAAATAACAAACAGTGTAGTGTGATTTATTTTTTTTTTAAGAGTTATTTTCGATCATGCAGCGGGTCGAAGATGTGGAGATGGTTTTATTTTGTTTTTATTTCTGATTGACCATGAGGTGGAGGAAAAAGGCAGTTATGAATACAACTACCCATGTTCTTCTGATTCAGAAAAAAATTTACATTATAAATTCATATCCCCACAATTCTTATTCATCATTTGAGAAATTTAAGGCAGACATAGAAATGTTTATATAAAAACTGACTATACTGCAAATGATTTGCATGTATTAAACTTTTTCAAAATTGAAATAAAAGCTATTCATATTTACATTATTTACATGAGAGTAATTAGTCAATGTACATGCCTATAACATAGGCAAGTTGTGTGGCTTTTTGCTTTTGCTTTATTACTGCTGCTATAGAAAGCCTCCAAGCACTTTAGCCTTTGGACAGTGTGTGCTGCTTGATTGTTTGCCCAAAAGGGAGCGTGGAAGCCAAGTTTATGGTAGTTTCTGCTCTCTCTTTTTGTTGTAACTTGGCAAAGTGTAAGAATGAAACAGAAGGCTTGAGGGCAGGCCTTGGTGTTCTAATAGGAAATAGAAGTATATTCAGTGGGGAAAAAAACAATTTTTATATGCATTTCTGATGTATGTATGTCTGTTGAAACAAAAAGAATTCTAATTTTCCTGTCAGTTGCAGAAAGAAAACAATGTCACAATGAGCAACATTAAGAAAAAAATCACAAAATAGTAACATCCAATTATTTAACTATATCATGATACAGATTGTTTCTTTGTGCATTTTTTTGTGAAGTTGCTCTGGATTTCATGAGAATTAATGTTCAAGTACAATGGTATGCATTTTACAGGAAAAATTATGTGGATTTCCCCCCAGATGGACTAACAAAAAGCTGTATATTTTGACTCAAACTGTGCCTTGCATGCCAGCCCAGCAGCATTTGTCTTTGTCTAAGCAATATTACGAATGGTTTAGTATTTCCAATACTTATATGTTATGAAATATACTCTTACTTTTGTTCTTTCTTGCTTGACGGATCTCTTGGATCTTTCTTTCTTTGGAGTTCACTTAATTGTTCTGTGGCTACTGAAACCACACACCATTTCTTACTATGAGTTGCTGTGAAGAGTGAACCAAAACAGGCTTCCAGGATTTTACCTGTGAGGTTTACCTTTGCTTTTGTTGAACCATTGCCTTTCTTCTTTCTGTTTTTTTGACCTAGAAAGTATAACTAAGAAGGTTGCAAAGCCTGTGTTGTGTATGCCAGGCAATGTCAGGGACTTGACTGTATGAAAATTGCCTCTGCCTGTGGGGGCCTGAAAAGAAAGGAAGTCTTGGTCATTGAATTCTGTGCTGGTCAGTTCAAGGGAAACCCTCTCGGGGATGAGAGTCTGCTGACTTAAAAGCCTTTTTTAAGTCTAGCATTAAGCATAGCTTCAAACTAGTATTAAAGAATGCCTTCTCTCAGTGCATTTCCCTTTTACTTTGACTCGAAGACTGAGGTACTTGGAAGCTGCCTACCTTTCATGTAGCCACTGTTTTGCTGAATCTAAACGGATCTGTAGTGAACTGTGTTTGAGTACCATAAATTCATCAACTTAGTCACCATAATGTGCCTCTTCTTTTGAACTTCCATCTCCTTGTGGGGTTTCCCCCCCGTTCAGCTTTGCTTTTGTTTTGTGGGTGTTAAATGAGGCTGTTCAGAAGTGCTTGTTCAACTTTTGTTTTGTTCCTGTTTAGTAAGCCAGCTACTTGTCTTGTAAATTCTTGACTGAAGACAACATAGCCTTCAAAAACAAAACACCATGGACTCCTGCTAAAATATTTTTTCAGAAAGTAGCAGGGTAGAATGAGCATGTAAAAAGTTAAGCAGAGAATGTCTGGAGTTGGGCATGTAGTGGGTTTTGTTGTTCTTTGGTCAGGGGAAGGAGCATGCTGTACAATGATAAACCACCTACATGCAATGGCTGGTGCTAGCTTATAAGTTCATTCTTAAAATTTTGCCTTTTGTGATGTCATAAGAATCACTGCAAATCCTTGAAACTAATATAATTTGTATTCCTGATGCAAGATAGACAGATAAGAGAAGGTTACCCATGTGTCATTTCCAGAAGTCTATCTTGAGGAGCTTGGAAGCCTGGAGAAAAAAAAAAAAATGCTTTGTCATTTGACATTCACGTTTCTTTTTGCTATTTTCATAAGAAAATGAATGTTAAATTACACTTTGCAATCTTGTTGGTCTTTTCTGTAGTGTATGTGAAACTTTCTACAATTATCTAGGAAGAAGCCTGTAAACATAATTAAATGTTGTTGAAAATACCAAAAAGTGAACTGGACAATATCAAAACTCTTGCAATTTTAGTAAAATAGAAAGTGAGTAAGGATATACCCATATTTCAGAATATTGGACCTCTTGTCTATATTATAATCTCTGTAGAAGCTGCAAGTGTTTAATCAGAAAACATTTGTAGTGTTTAATGAAAGTTATCTTGTTGAACATTGATAATATTGGTGAGGATGGATAGGTGGCCATGATAGTATGGTGTGTCTCGGCTTAATAATTGTGTAGGACAAGACATTTGTGTAATCTAGCCCTTTTATTGGTAGACTTGAGCATATGATGTATATTCTTCAAGACTGATGTAAAATCCACTGTATTGAAGTAAAAAGGATCCACAACAGTGTTTGTCACACTTAAATAATGAGGGAGTCAGAAATATTGAAAATAAAGTGAAGCCTTAGGTTGCATTATTTGGACTCATGCAGTCAGGAGGTCAACATATGCGAAGACAGCCTGTTCTAGCAACCTATTAGATGAATTAGGAGAATAGAAAGGTTTAAAGCTTTAGAGGAGATTATCCTCCTTTTCTCCACATGGCAGGCAGTGCTGATTAATGCTGTGTGTTTCTTTAATCTCAGGGTTTGTAGGTGAAAACACCCAACCAATCCCAGAAAACAACATTGGAAACCGAATGCTTCAGAGCATGGGCTGGACTCCTGGCACTGGCCTTGGACCAGACGGGAAAGGGATTGCAGAGCCAATACGAGCCATCCAGAGACCAAAAGGACTCGGCCTCGGATTCAGCTGACAGAAATGCACTTTGGCTGTCGAGTGAAAGTAAAGATTGAAAATAATTTAAAAAGACAAGAATTGCAAGCTTGTATTATTTGTTATGATCAGCAAGTCCAGTTGTTCTTCTCTCAAAGATCACTGAAGCCTGTGTGCTTCACATCAGCTACTCCAGCTGCAAGGTACAGCCACAGTGACAGAACCGGCATTTGAATCTAATTTTACAATGGTGCTAAAATTTACAAACACTTGTACTTTTTTATTTCCTCTGGTCTTAAAGTTTGTATTAAGTAAAAAACTCAGTGTATTTGCTTCTTTTCATAGAACCTTCTGACACAGCAGATTTTAGTATATAAGCAATTTTTTTTGTAAGTATAATTTCATCTCAAGAGCCTTGATAAGGTTTGTCAAGGAAAATTGAAGTTTATATAGTAATTGTGTTTTCCCCCTTTTCAGGCCAAGTTTCCAAACCTGATATTTCTAGTGTTTAACAGTGTTTGAGGATAAGCTGTCATTTTGCCTGTAAGATATACATGTTTTCTGCTGGAAGGTGATATGTTATACAATTTTGTATAAGAGCATGAAAAATGGTTTTGTCATCATAGGAATGCCATTTCAACATCATTATCTGGCAATGTATCACTGTCTTCCACATTCAAGCTCAAAAGTAAAGCTTTTATACTTGTTTTTACATTTGCAGGATTATCTTTTTTCAGCAGATATTTTAAAATTTTAGAGTTTATTCTGAGTGTGGATATCTCTTTATATGAATAATCCTTAATGTGTCTATACTTAAGGATATATTTCAACTTTGAACCAGAAAATTGTGTTTTAAAGATGCCCCCGTCAGTGTTAATATGCTGGGATTTGGTATTTTAAACAATGTAGTGTTCAACATTTGTTTTGTGATTGTGCTGGTACCAGTGAGCCACAATGTTTAAGGAACATAAAGTAACTGAAAAAGGAGAAGAAGTGAGATTAGGATGGAGGAAAGGAAGGAAAAAGATACTTTGATAGCTTCTTAAACATCCAAGCTAGCAATTTAAAATCAAGAGGAGTCATTAAGTGTTTTAATCAGTATCCTAATGTATCTAATATCAGCAGAAGTAATTTCATTAAGCGGCAACCAATCAAGCTCCCAGGACACTATTGGTCTGTAGTATAAAACAAATTCCACTTTAAAATTGAATGATAGGGCTGAAGAAAACAGTTGTGCAGATGGTCTAAGGAGAAAATATTGCACCTGCTGTAGTAGCTAAAAATATTTACTTTGATTGTAGAGGGAACGGGATTTGGTTCTTCAGTTTCTTTTTCTTCCCTGTCCTTGCTACCAAACTGCTTAGAAAAATATCTTGAAGATTATTGCAAAGATAATTGCTGAGAATAACAGGAGTGCAGCTTCCTTCATGTAACTGAAATAGTGATGAATTTTAAGAACTGTTTTTTTCACTGATTTTTTTCTTTCAGATTCACCTTTCTTTTTTTTTTTTCTTCCAGAAAGGCAATGCTAGGAAATGTAGCAACATTATAACATGGAATTTTCTTTAAAATTTTGTTGATTCTTTCCAGGGTGAGTACTGTCAATTCGGAAACTTTCTTTCACAACTTATATAGTGTAGACTAAAAGGTTAGTACCTGTTCTTGTTCTTGATGATAGCTGAGTGCAGATGTTCCATGAGTTTCAGAAGAGCCATTTATTGTTCTTTGCATCCTTGATATCATTGTGAGGTTTTGCCTTTTAACATTCCAAGAATTTTTAAACAGACTTAGCATTTATAATCAGTGCAAACTTTTTATGGAAAGTTTTGGAGCATAGGATAATGTATGTTGGACACTTCTAATATCTCTTGCATACCAAACCAAGTTAAATACATTCCATATCCAAAGAGTTCCAGGCCATGTAATTGCAGAGAACCTGGAATTCTGCAGGCAGCAAAGGTGCTCGCTTCTGTATTTGTTATTTATAGTAATAGATTTATATGACACACTCCCATTCTTTCAGTGCAATGCCTGCAATTCTCTTAGTGCGACCATCTAGCCAGTTCCTTATCTTGTGAGTGATCCATCCACCAAATCCATTTTTCTCCAGTTTGGCAGTCAAGATGTCGTGCAGGACTGCTTTGCACAAGTCCAGGTAGATGACATCAGTTGTTCTTGCGTTATCCACTGATGCTGTAATTCTATCATAAAAGGCCACCAAGTTTTTCAGACATGACTTATCCTTGGTGAAGCCATGTTGGCACTACCAATCACCTCAGCTTTGTTTTCCACGTGCCTTAGCAGGACCTTCAGGAGGATCTGCTCCATGGTCTTGCCAGGTGCAGAAGTGACACTGACTGGCCTGTAGTTCCCTGATCTTCTTTATTTTCCTTTATTGAAAATGGGGGTTATGGTTCCCCTTTTCTAGTCAGTCAGAACTTCACCAGTTTGCCATGACCTTTCAGATACGATGGATAGTGGTTGGCAGCTTCTTCTGCCAGTTCCCTCAGAACCCACGGGTGGGTCTCATCAAGTCCCGTGTTTTTTTGTTTTATATCAGTCTGCTAGAAATTATTAGACACTAAAACCGGTCAAATTGATTTTCATACGGAGATAAGTACACCTTGACTGTTTTCCAGCAGATATTTTTAGATGCCACAGCTAACAATCAGGTGTAGAAGAAATTGATTTATTAGAATATTTTAATCTCATTTTTTGAGGTAATTTAATGCAGTAAAATTCCCACTCAAAATCACATCATTTTATCACTTCTCACAGGAATACCAGATATTCTGGTAGTCTAACTTTGCACAATTAAGGCTAGCATTAGGAGGAAAATAAAAAACAAAATCATTCTGGTTTGTTTTGTTTTGTCTTTTTTAAATCACTGCAATGTTTGTTGGCTTTAAAACAAGTTGAAGTACCTGGTTATTTTTCTTCAGGATTTTCCCATGCATAACTTAAAATCACCTTCTATTTAACTTACAATCATACTTGCTATAAAACTGGTTCACATTATTTTACAGTACATGTAAAACTATTTCCAATAAGAATTCGTACTGACTATGATACTGGAAGTTTTTATGCCTGCATAAATATTGGTTCATCTTGTATCTAAAAGTTACTATCACTCACCAATTTTTTTCCATTTAGGTGTTTGATTAATTGGTAGTTAAGCTGTTAACATAATATTCTGCCTATGCAGAATGTTTAGTAAAAAGAAGACACATACAGTATTATCAACATCACATTTTGCTACATTCCATTGTGTTTCAGAGTTCTGTGAATTAAGCCATTAACTGTTAATAAAAGAAACACATGAGCAGTTGCTGGCAGAATACTGTTTTTAAGTAAATATTTGTTGAAGTCAGAGAAGCGTTATCGATATGCTTATTTTAACAAGTTTGTCCCTGCATTTGTCTTTCTTCAATTAGGGCAATAATGAGTGTAGAATGGCAGTAAATAGCTAAATAATATGTATTGAACGCTTTGCTTTAACAGCACAAATGCGAGATGAAATAAAATAATTAGACTCCACGGGTTTTGTATGTTCTTTTCTTTAAGTTGCCCTTTTCAATGACGGTGTTACTGCTCAGGTGAGTGCAAAAGCATTGTTTCTGAAAATGTGATTAGGATTGCTAATATCTTGTAGCAAGCACATGTTTTAGTAAAAGTATTGTACCTCCTTACCAGTACTTTTCTAGGTAGTTATTAACCAGAAAACGCGAACCACATCACAAAATGCCACATATAAAATATCTGCATTACTTTTGTTATCATATTCTTCTGGGATGTTTAAATACAAGTCCTCTTCATTCTTTAAGTATGCGTATGCTTTGATAGCTGTGACGTGATTGTGCTTTCTCTTCAAGCAGGACTTCAAAACTGTTGCTCCAAGAAGAAATCATGCCATTTTTTTCATAGGCATATCAAAAATGGGGATCCCTTCCCTCTCTTACGCTGTGCAGTGAGGAGACTTTTTAATTATGCTTTAATTGATAGCAAAGTTTTTGGGAGCAGGGGCATAGCTAGTACACAGCATCTGCCAAGGTGCCCACAACAGAGTCCCATACCTAAAGGCAGTATGTTCAGCCTGCAGTGTGCAACGTAGTGAAAACCAGAATTATTTCACTGTCCATTGTTCAGCTCTAAAGCTAATCTAGCATGTTAAAAGAACACCTTGTTTTTGGTTTGAATTCTTCCTGGAAAGGTTTTGATGCAGCTACATTTGTCTGTTTATTTACAGGCATAGTACTTATGGTTGTGTGTGTGTGTGTGTATGTTTGTTTGCTTAATGATATTTCTGTTCTGGAAAAAGTCTTGGAGAATGTACAGCAATTTCAGTGTCGATATTCTTAAGTGGTGGGTGGTTTTTTGCTATAGAAACTGTGAGCTTTACCAGCATGGATTGTTTATGCTATAGCATAGATACAGAGTTTGGTAAGACTATCAACAAACTTTTTAATATGTCTGCTTTGAGTTGTTGTGGAAAACTTAACTAAAGCAATGAAAATTTCATGATTAACTGCCAGTAAGATAATTCTAGTGGAAATGCATAGGCTTCCTGTGGGTCTTGGGTGTCCTTCAACAAAGCAGATACTGGAGGTATTTTGGCCAATAGATTGCTTGTTTTGAATAGTCAGTCTTTAAGTAGAAAGCTGAAAATGAAAATTAGATTATCGTTCAGAATATTTGATTATAGGTATCTTCAGCTTAGTGTGCCTTAAGTCTTCAGTGTTGTTCTTCCTTTCCTTTTTTCTGAAAAAGTATAACTATGTATGTGTTAAGTGATAATTCCCCATGTTTTCTGTCTCAAAATATTATCTCATGTCTATATTAAGTGGCAGGGCTCCAGATTTTCTGTCATTTGTACCAGACTAGTGCAGTTGCTTTTCATACCTCACCTGGCCAATTTTATGACTGGCCTACTCCTGCTCTCATGAGTTATTTTTTGACACTTTGACACTTCAAACTTGAATTTTCTTCAGCCCCACCAGACCACTGTTTCCCCAGCCACAAACTTATGAAGACTGGAAGACACGTAACTTTTTCTGAACTTGAGTATCTCCGTTGACTTCTAAATGTGAAGCTCCTCAAAGGTATAAAAATAAGCGTGCATAAAAGTGTTAGCAGACTGAGGTCTTAACTTCCTTCCCTGTTATAGATATGGATCCTCAATTTTCCATGGCAACAGAGTTCCCATAAAATCCTAGAGTCAGCTGGATCATACTGGACTATCTTTAGCATAGAGTTTCTTCAGAGCACCTGTTTGGCTGCTGTACCTAGTATTGGGTACAGTAGCTAACTGATTCTGTATGTGCTATGTAGTCTTTCATTCCAGCCAAGTAACAAGAATAAGGGAAGGAAAAAAAAAAGTTTTTGATTCAATAAGGAAATAGCAGAAAGGTATAAGTTTTAGCAATTTGAAATTGCTCAAATTTCAATGAAAATAAGCAAGGGAGAACATGCATTAGAACTATGCAAAAGGAGCATGTCCCAAATATTTTCTCCAGTGAACAAAAAAAAGGAAGCCAGCAAGAAATATATCATTTCAGTGTGCATTAGTTTCCACTTAAGAGTATTATTATTAGTGATTAAAAAACACATGATACAGGAAACTCAGTTCCACAAGATGTACTGGCTCATTTAGTAATTGAGGTAAGTTCATGAGAACTTACCACCATTAATTCTTCAGTCTTTCTCACTGAGTCAGCCTAGCTTATTCTGCCCTTGTCCACTGTAAAACTCCATCTTCTTCTCAGGCGTCTCTTACTGCTCTCTTGTTGTCTGTGTCAATGAGTTTTGTTATTGAACTGTGATTTTTTTTTTTTTTTTTTTTTTTCATTTTACTTCCTTGGAAATTTCATGTAACACAATTTCAATATATTTTCATATAACCTAGATTGCAGTGATGGAAAAAGGTTCTTTGAAGAATTAGGATTAATGGTCTTCAATTTTTTCTTCCATAAAATGTTTCTCCATTTGAATCCTTGATTTCACTTAAGATTCACCATCCTCCCATTTGTTTCTCTTTCGCAAAAACTTGGCTGTTTTCTTAGAGAGTATTGTGGTGAAAGAGGCAGGAATTTCTTCTGTTGCATTTGCAGGTACCAAGTTGCAAAATTTCTTCTCTGTAGTTTTGATTTCAAGAGTTAAGTATTAAATTTGGATCCCATAAGTGTTGCCTTATAGTTTTTCCAAATGTTCTAGCTTACTACAAGCATTTGAATGTTGTACAATTTGTAGAATAAAATAAGTAGAACATTTATCTAAAATTTTCTAAATGCCAAACTTTTGGTGTATATGGTGGTGGGCTTCATATTTCTCGTAGTAATAGATGTATTCTACAACATAAAGTGTACGTACACACAACTAATGCTAAATGTACAATTCTCTTGACCATGGGCAGCAATAATAGTATGTTAACCTGGATTAAAGAATTCCTTAGTTCTGGTGTAGTTCAATGATGAAAGCTGCCATGGCAGCAGTTTCCACATTTTCAGCTGGCGAGGACTCTTGCTGATAGCCAGTAAGACAGGTGCTCCATGATTTCTTTAGAAATTGTTGAAATGACATGTGAAGAACAGTGTTTAGGGCATCTTCATTTAGACCCAGTGTTAATTATGTTACTTGCTACTGTACGTGAGGAATGTGAGTGGTCTTTACCATGAAAAGCTTGGTTTCTGGTTCTTCCTGATCGCCCTAGTTGCTGCTCTACAGTGTGAAGGCTCTGGAGGCTCACCCAGCAGCCCAGAGACACATTGACTCTTATGGAATAATTGCTTCAGGTGCAAAGGTGAGCATGTGGAGCACCAGTGGCTGAGACCAATAATATTACCAATAATAGTATTACTAATAATGTCTTGCTTAAGTGAAGGCTTGGGCTTCCAACATGGGTAGGAAGTCACAGTATGCTGCTCATAGTGTTTGATAGCCACTAACATGGATTTTTTTCTTCCTGGCACAGGCTGCCAGGAGGTGGAGAAAGAGCATCTGGATGATGTTTAAGGTTCATATATTTGGCAGGATCAGTTCATTATAGATGCACATTTTTAGGCAAAGGTTTGAGATAGGAATTGTTTCTAGTGAACTACAACATGACTGATTGTATGGGACCATAAAAAAAGGGTTACAATGGCCATGGCGAGGGAAGCTTGGAATTTTGCCACAGTCTCGAATAGTGGCTGCATGAAGAATTTTGGCCAGAACCACATTCCTGTGCTTTCTTTGGACCTGGCGAGTCAAAAAGTACAAAATTAATTAAAAATAATAGTAATTTTAAAAAGCATTGTTTTACTGTGTGGTAGAGCAGGTGAAGCCATTTGCCTGTTTATCTAACGAATAAACACCCATACATTTTATAGATGTAGATCCCTGTAGAGTATAATACATAAAATTAGAAAAGGAAAATTTAAATATTGGACATTTTGTTAAGCTATCAGCCATGTACTTCACCAAAGTGTCACAAGACGTTTGGTTCTGGTAACCTGCAGTACATAGAAGAGGTGAGATGTTTCTACACAAGTCAATAAATCTGCAATGTATTGTTTAATATTCCACCTTTATGTAAACGTAGCCAGGTTTTTTTGTTGTCTTCTTCCTAATCAGTGGTAAAGTGCATTTAATAGCTCACTTAAGGTTGTCATCCATTACTGTGAGTTACTGTTGGATCTAATTAATAGAGCTGAAATTATTTTGTAATGAGAATTTGAAGTATTGCAGTGTTAAAAAAAGGAAAAAAAAATTGCCATTCACAGCTAATTAATGTTTAACAATGCAAATAAGCTGATAATTATTTTTCAAGCCATAGAAAAATTCTGTGACACTTCATATACCACCTTTATGATCCCAATTGTTTCCAAATAATGCTTTTACAGAGAAATATTTGGAAGAGATTTCCCTGGAAAAAAAGGCAGATTTTCAGCACACAAGGAATAAGAGCTGTCCTTTTGTTCACTGGGAGCCCAGAATCAGCAGCTGTTTCTTACAGTAAATACTGATGGAGGGAAGGAAAAAAGTGAGGGTTTGAATGTAGTTGGAAGAAGAAAATCATGTGAGATCCTAGCCAAAATTTCCTGTCTGCTCCAAGTCGGCTGCTCTTCGGTCAGTGCAGGTCTTACAAATGCAGCCCAGGTAAGCTGGGATCTCTTGGAACCATTATGATAAAGATGCTAACAGCAACGTGACACTGTCATTATACTGAAGTAAAATGCATTTTTGTCGTATACATGCTAAATCAGAAAGAAGGAATGCTGGCAGTCTGGTTATGTAAGTGAATGTGGACCCATTTCTCATCACTGTTAACTTTGGCAAATGAAGTATGCTATTAGTCTTTTGATTTTTAACCCAATTTAATAATATTTATTGCCTATTCAGATGTCAATTTAATATCACAAAAAATTTTATATATCAAAATTTATCCTGAAAGTGTTATTATCTTTTTTTTTTTTTTTTTTTTGAGTCAACCAGTAATAAATACTATTTTATTTAGCAGGATTATGTAATATATAATCAACTGACAAGTAAATCACGCAGACTAGCTGCTGGCATACCACTCAGCACAGGCGCATCACTTTGTACCCCTGACATTTTAAGTAGGCCCAGATTTCTCTACAGCAAGATGATGCCATTAGCTGCCAAGGGTGTGATCTACTATTACCACTTTGGGTTTTATCTACACATTAGAGTTGTCTTCTATCTTTGAGTTGTCAGACAGCATAAATCATCCTCCAATTTGCAGATGCCACTTGCTCTGTTGCAGAAGTGTCCTTCAGTGTTACTTCACTTTTCCTGCAGGTGAGGTGTTCCTTGTGGCCACACTGCCAGTAGACCACATGCCCCCACCTCATGCCTTTACTCCAGGACTGATGGCTGCTGACATAATGATCCACAAGCTGGGATCAGCACCTCTTCCTTAAAAATTGATTTATTTTTGTGGGTTAACAGTTTATATGAAGCTTTCTGATCATGGCCTGGATGTTCTTCTGAGAGTCTTCTACAGTAATTAATGCTTGTTCTGCTGAAAGTCACTACTTCCATTTGTGCACTATCTTGCAACATTCTGCCTGGAAAACGCAAATTATTTGTATATTATGTTCATTGCCACAGGGAAGGAAGAAGAACCATGGAGGTAATATTTTTTTTCACTTAATAATTTTAAGTTGAATTCATTAATTTGTGGAAGAAGGGATCTGACTGAAGACTTCTGAAAATTTGGGGTTGGCAGAGCAGGCCTGGAACATGGAGCAACTCTTCATTGGGCACAACTGCGCTGTAAGCTGTAAAGGAGGGAGGAAGGTCTGCAGGCCAGCAGAGGGCTGTGCTCAAATCTTTCTGCCCTCGAGAAGGGTGGGTTGTGGATTTGCTGTTGTTACTCTGACTTAATTATTAAAATATTGAAACCTGTTCTCTACAGATATTTCATACAGATTTACTCTAACAGTGTAATGACCGGTATGCCGATCGTGGTCACAGATTGGGATTTTTATGGATTCTTTTGCCATCTTTGATATCTGCTAGGAGGCTCTACCTGGTTGCTTTTTACGTGCCCTGACATGTTCCACATCCTGCTACCTATGTTTTGCCTGCCCAGCTCAGGTCAGAGCAATAACTAATGATTGCTGCAGCAGCTATCAGGTTAAATTTGTAATTACAACTAAGCATTTTTTTATATTAATAGGTTTTTAAGAAAGGTCATGAAATGTAACACTTCAATCAGACTTACTCCTTTCGGTTTTGCTTTTGTATTTTTTTTTTTTTGTTGTTGGAGTTTTGTTGTTTTTTTTTCCTGTTTGCAATTATACTGTTTGAAAACCTTACCCATGTCTGCTGCGAAGCAATGCAGCACTTCAAAAAGGATTTTAAGGACAGTAATATATGCAACTTACATCACTAATCAGCTATAGAATGTCAGATGGCCTAATGCACGGTTTTAATTGTAGCAGTTGATGCATTCTGGACGCTATGGAGAGCATTGATGTTTTGATTACAAAATAGAACTTCACAAGCCAAGGAGGAGCATGGAGTTGCCTTCCTGCAGCCTCTCTCACGCTCTTGTGTTCTTCCATCACGCCCGTTAACAACTACACTAGAAACAAGCAGCAGATTTTTTTCCACTCGGTGAGTAATTGTCTGCACAGCAGTGACAGATGTGCAATATAGCAGCTTCTTCAGGAAAAAATTAACAGTTTGTCCAGCATGTCAGCTTGCTCTTTTTAGTGCTTCGGAGGTCTTGGCCCCATTATGGATGATTTAGAAATTGAAGCAAGCTAAGACCAGCTGCCTGGGTTGAAAGCCTTAGTTAGTAGCCCTCATCTGCATTCCAGTATTCGCTTACATCTAGAAATTGGTAGGGCCCCTCTGGCCACAAGATGAGTATGGGCTGACAATGCCTTGATTTGTTGAGAGAGAGAATAAATGGGTTTTTCAGAAGATGAGGAAATATCACCATTACTGGCCAATTTACAGCATTTTATCTGTTCTTCAAACATGTCACTTTTGTTATTGTTGCATGGTAATTACATAGTGAAACGGAAAGAAAACAAATTCTGGTTACATATTCAGATGGATTGCAAAATCATATAATCCTGATAAATGCCCATTTATGATACACACGGATGAAAGGTTCATTTTAATTTTGAATAGCTAGCACAGCCATAAATAGGATATAGGATTAGATCCCACAGAATCCGATTACCTAAAAGCAAATAGTATTTTTCTTCACTTTTTTTCATAACCAGGAAATTCAGTGTGTGCAGGGTATTTAAATAAGCAGGCTTTCCATAAAAGAATATGAAGCAAATATAATTCAATAGTTTCTATATTTTAAATATAATCATTTAGGACTATTCAGCTAAGTCTTTTTTGAAGCACTCATTTGTAAATAGACATCAACCCATCAATATTGCTGAAAAAAATATCACACAGATATGGCCTTTAAAAGATACACATTCATAGCAAATAGAAGAACCTCTGCTAGTTGGAAATGTAGTCCAACAATAACAGCAGATAGTATTACTTATATATTATAATTGCAACTGTTCTTACCACCTTTCAAGAATGTTTTAAGGCAAATATTGCATTAGCTGAGAAGCAAATGATGATACCATCCCAGGTAACTGCAATTCCGGCAGCAGCTTTCATGCCAGAAGCATTCTGTGAAATTCTGGAAGCTCCATTTCCTTTAGTGGAAGGCACTGGAAGAGACCTGTATGACAACACAGGTGTATAGCAGCAGAAGGCAGATGATTCCTGTACAGAGATGAAGAAAAAAAAAAAACCTGCTTTGTGCATAAAGCCATTTCCTTCACAATCCTTGGCATCCAAATTATCTTCCCAAGACCTTAAGAGAGAGTTGGCCGTTGCATTAAAAAGAGCAGGGATGGTAGAGAGGTAAGCATGCTCAGCCCCCTCATCACCCTTCCCAAGAGGGGACAAGACACCTCCGTCTCAAGGGGAAGTTGAGCATGGAGGATTCATGACACATCCAGGTCTGCATCCAAGGCACTGGGCAAGCACAGTGACAGAGATGGCCACCTACATGAGCTGTCAAGCTTCTTGAAACCTTCCATGGGAAAATACATTTAATACATCCACTGCATACATTCAAGGTGGTGCTATACTGTGCTTGGGCAGACTTTGTGTTGGACACTATGTTCTGGAATGGAGAGTTAAGATGACTAATCAAAATTCTCTCACCAAGGAGTAAAATTAGGCTCTTAGTAAACATTCACATGCAGTGAAGTCTTGCCTGACTTTCTTCAGCTGCTTTTATTCAATTGCATCAAAACTATGAGTAGGCACCAGCAGCCAGCTTTGATTGGATCTGCTCTCAGGTGATTGAACTGTATCTGCCTGCATTTATCCACCATGTCGTCTTTTAAAGAATTTGCAGTTTTGGGTCAGTTATTACAGTTCAGGTTATGGCTACAATAAGCTTGATGTTATTGCAGGAAAATATAACCTAAAAGACTGGTATCGTTCTCTTCCTCAATCCTACACTGTATCTTAATTTTACTTTTTTTTTTTTTTTCCTTTGGAAGTCCTGAATACATATAGCTATTGGCAAGATCAGTGGAAGATTTCACAATGCAACTTCATAGCTAGTTGGACTTACTGGTGGCAGGCAGAGAGGGAATAGATAGGCAATAAATGCAAACTGGGGGATCGTAACAGGGTCTCTCCTGCCTGGGCCTTCTGAGAACAGACTGTCAGCATCAGTTCCCTGGGAATAGTGACCAGTGCACTGCATGGTGACTGAAGGCAGGGCTTGGGGTGGAGGAGTCCTGGTTCAGGGTTTCAGAAGAAATCAATTGACCTGACCTGAATTACGTTCTTTTGTGTTTCTAAAGAAGGTCTATTGGGAATGAGTCTGAAATGCGCTTTCCATGGTATTGTCTCTTCCATAGTTCTCTGCTCCTAACTGAGCTTTGTTATCAGTTTAACGTTGATTAACTTTTTTTTCCAGAAGAGATTTTTCATGTGCTGAAGGGTAAAGTAACAGAAAATTTGCAGAATGGCCACAAGAATCATACATATCCTGGGGGACATATCTGCTAGAGAAATTACTGGATGAAGACATTCACACACAGTAAGTGTATCTGCCACAGTTTTATATGCTCTGTTTTATCTTGGAGCATTAACAACATTTTGATTTTTGATAACTTACCTGTCAAATCCCTTATGAGGATTGTGATATAGTGTCCCTCCTCAGCAGACTTCTCAGTGTGACTCAGCAATAAAACTGTTGTCCCAGGTGTTGCCTTGAAATTATCTGGGAGATTTTCCAGTAATGAACTTGCAGTGTTTTCTGATGAAATGTGTGTCTGCATGCCAAGAAAGCAGCACTTTAATTTGAATAACATTTGGAAGGGTTTTTAATTTTGGTTTATCAGTATGTTGATACATGGACACTTGGAAAAAGACTAGTATGTAACAGAGATTATTTCAGCTTCAGTGAATCATTGCTTTGCTTTTTCTCTCCCCTTCAGACTGAAGATTTCTTGCTGCTTCATGTAAACAGTGTTGAGTTAGCAATGTGCTACTCTAGCCTGATTTTAAAGAAACACCCAAAGTGGCTGTTGAAATCTGGATACTTGTTGATAACCTTTAAAAAGATAGTAGTTATGCCATGAAAGAACTTATGAAGAAGTCCTTTAACTATTATGATCATCCTGATTATTTTACTGGCAGGGAACTTTCCATAACATGCAGCTATTGGGTAGGATTGCTTCCAAAATGCACTCCTATTTGACCATAGGTCCTGGAATGTCAGCCTGTATGTGTGCAGGAGCTACCAGAGCATCTCCCCTTGGTCTCTGACAGTGCACATGTGCTATGTTGCAGCTGACTTAAAAGCCCTCATTTACTGTTCTAGATATACCCATCATCAAGGATAGTGAGTAGGAGTAGCCCAGGAGAGCAAAGAGGGAAGCTGCAGCAAGGTCTAATAAGGCTGAAATCATAGCAGGGATGTGGATGTACTTCAGATATAATTAGGATGAAGTGCAGTTATCTCAAGGGTCCTTAAAATCACTTGTTGGTTAACAGAAAATACTTTTACACTGAGAACTGGGAAATGGCGTAAGGTCACTTAAGCAGACCTCAGCAACAGGAACTGAAACTATGCTGTCCTCATGTGAATAACCAAGAAGGCAGCAGGCAGCTTCCCCACCAATTCCAGCCTCAGAAAAGGGACAGGGCTGTCAGGAAGCTTAGTCTCTGTGACTCAGTTCTTCCAGAGATTGTTCCTCAGCTTTAGTTGTCTGCATATCCCTTTGTGTCCTGTTTTCTGTGACAGTTTCAAGTTACCTTTAATTAATTAATTAACATTAATTAAGTTGATATAATGTTAACTAATTAACATTAATTTGGCCTAAAAACAAGAGCAGAGAATAGTTTTAGGTCAGTCCTGGTTATCATTCTACTCTCGATACTTTTCTTTATGTTTGCTGGCATCCAGTTGCTTAGAAATGGCAGGTGCCATTGTGGAAGTGAACGGAGACAGGAGCATGGTAGTCTGAAGTAATTGGACACATTGATCCTAGCACAAAGCTCAACCAATTCAATTACTGATCTAGAAGTTGCTGCTCATTTTGTTTCTAGCTTGTGTCTTCAGTTTGCAAATCCATTCACCATGTCCAGAGGTATTTTATTTATGGGGTTAGTGAATATGGCAGAGTTAAGGCAAAGCCATTTCCACGGGCTATGTGGCTAGTCCTGGACATAATATCTACATAGGTTGCCCTGGATATAATGCATCCTCTTCATTTCCACGGAAACTGCAATAGATACAAAGAGCACAGTAACATTATTTGATTATTAGAACATGATTTGAACAAATTCTTAGCTACAAAGCACTATATTTCAGTCAGCACCATTAGCTGCTCATCTTTGCCAGCAATGAACAAGGGCCTGCATGCCATGCTCGTAAACCTCTGAATAAGCAGAGGTTACCCCCTGTCACTGCTGCTGAGACACACCACCAACCTCTTCACTGCACTGATGTCTGCTGTTGAGTCTCCACAGATGTTCAGCAAGTATCAATGAATGTCAATGGGTGCCATTTTTTCCACGTGGAGGAGTTCAGTGACATGCCTTTGCTTCATACAAATTTCTATGTCAGGCACCATTCTGTCAGAGTGCCCCTCTGCTGCCATCTGTCACATGGCAACAAAATGTAATAGGATGTTGGTGAAAGGTTCAACCTACTGCCATACCACCAACATCTGTCTCTGATGTTGTGGGCTGGCATCATAAAACAGGAGGCATTTCTTTTGGTGAAACCCTAAGATACAGGACAAACCAAAGGAAAAACAATCTTGTTACAGTACATTCATATCCCAAGCCCTGTGTACTGATTGGCACAAATTGGTGGCAAACACCGAACCACTCTCCTGGGCTTTGCAGACTGGTGTGAGGATTTCCATCCCCGTTGCTGTGCGCCCTGGGGGCTGGAGCTCCTCTTCCTGTAGATGACAGATCACAACAAAACAGAATAAAAGCAATCGCTATTTTTCACTCTGTCCTCTGCCATTCCTTCCCGTAAGCAGCAGATTGTTGTATGTTAATGTTTCTATTGTTTTAATATTCTTGTTTTCCTCATTCATATTCTGAGGTATTATTGTTAGTGCCAACCCATTTGATTTATTATTTAGAGAAAGCACTTGTTCAAAAAGTCAGCACTGGATATTAAATGGTGATTGCTTGCAATGAATTTCTTTTTAACATCTGCAAAGACAATTTTGTCTTTTCTTCTTCCACTTAACTCTAAATGAGAGATCTTAAGCATAGTTAAATAGGATTCATAATATCTCGCTGACTGAAAATCATCTTGAAATGTGGAATGTGAGGGCAGAAATAGTTATCACATACAAAACCCTCTTCCCTCTGAATTTCTAAGGGAGTACAGGGGAGGATGCTGTCCCTGGGTGTGCATTAGTATTCCTGGTTGTGTGCGTGGTAAAGAGACCACTGCGGGGCCAGAGCCACAGGGCTGCTGCAGGTACGGATCTGACTGTTCTCTTCCTCTCCCTTTCCCCACATTTTAAGCCATTGACATTAGTACTACGTATGCATGTATGTGTGTGTGTATATATATATATATAGAATAAATCAAAGCTTTTTTTTTTTTTTTTTTTGTATATTTAACTATGACACCCAAAAATACCCCTCAAAGCCCATTCAATTTGAGAGAGATTTTCCACTGCCTTGAGTAACCGTCATATCAGCTTCATGTTGACTTAAAATATTTTGTCATTGTTGTTTTTTGGCCAGAAAAATTGCATCTCAGTGACTGTGTCATTAGTATCAGTGTCATGGTAAAGAAATAGCATAATACCTCCATGTTAATCACCAGTTTTACACAGCTATCTTAAAACCTTGTGCAAGTAGGGCTGCTCAAGGATCCTTAACTCTATCCTTAAAAACCAAACATGGAAGGAGCTGTAAATTAAAGTACAACTCAGTCACTCATTTTCTCTAGCCAGGTTACCAAGATAGACCAAAGAGCAAAAAGAGGATTCAATCACAGATTTAATTAAAGATAATCATCAGAAAGACTGGCAAGACAAACACATCTGTTATTTCATACATTTCCTAACATGAACTGTATGAAGGGACTGAGCTTTTTAGTTTTACTTTAATGATTTTTTTCTGTAATACAGTGATACCATGAGTTGCATCTAAGTATGTGAATGTTTAAAATAGTTGGCTTCCTTAAAAAGTACAGCCATAGTGAAACACTGGAACAGAAGATAGTTGCTAGCATAGAATGTGATATATTTCTAAATATATTATTATTTATAATGAAGCTAATGGTGACAGAATTTTGTTTGAATTTGTAGTGCATCCTAACAACAGTGATGTGAGCTGCAGAGTGGGCACTGCTCTCATAAACATTTTGCCTCCTTTCCCCAATAGATTGTGGCAAACAGTGGCAGTGACTCTGGCTGCAGAAAACACAGTGACCATGCTCCTTCTCTCAGCCTTGCAGGCTACATACCTCTGCTGGATCTCATGCATCTGTTGAAAGGAGAAACACTGTGACACAGACTGATGGGATTCTTGGTAATTGCAGCAGAATCACCGAATACCCTAGTAATAGGTTTTTTAACTTTTTAGCTTTTTTTTTTTCCCTCCTTTTATTCATAAAGTCTGCCTGTTATATCACTTGTAAGCATGTGACCTAAAGTTCTCTGCAGCGTTCATTAGATGTGGTTTTCATACTAAGAATAGAATTCAGCTGTGTCTGTGTATTTGTGACCCATTTGGGCACTGTTAATTGGCCCAAAGTAGGCAGCACTGGAGTGGTAGCGGTGGAGGGAAAGCACAGCCAGCTGCACCTGCCACCTAATTCTTTTCTTTAGGGAGGACTGGAGGCTGAAGCAAAACATGAGGACCTGTGTGGCTGCACAATGACCTTGGATCAAGAGCGACACTCCAGGTGACACCCCAACCACCTGCATGGAAGACAAGAGAAACCGTGATGAGGATTGATCCAACAGAGTGTAGTGGCTCCCCTGGATCTTACAGAGGCCTATTGAGATCTATAGATTTGTATTCAAGGACTCCTGAATAGATCTCATGACTGGCCTGACAAACCACGGCTGCTACAAAGGAGACATTGCCAGACACTGTAAATCTGTTGCAGACCTCATGTAGCTGAGCACCGCCTTGCAGGCTGCCCTGCAAGTGCAACGCCACACTCAGGAGCTGAAAGGTTGGTGTTCGTGCTTGGATTTGTTGTTTCCTTAACTCAATTTGTGATGGTTCTCAGGTCTAAAACAGCTTTGATGTGGTCATACAATAGCAAACAAATTAATCGGGTGGAGAAAAGTGGAAAAAGCTCCCAAAACCAGTAAGCTCTTTGTGTCCCCTAATGTAGTATTTCTGTACGAATTACTGTGGGTTTTTTTTTCTCCTGTTTTACCCTTTTTTTTTTTCCCTGAAGTGCTCCTGAGTAGTGTCTTTGTAAAATTTCAGCCTACAGCAAGTTGTTGCTGCTGATGAATTACAAACTGCTTAAAGACAGGACTGTAAGGGAAATTCTGACACAAGCTTCAGTACAGCAGCACAAACTTGTTTCCCAGACACCAAAATAAACCAATATTTTCCTTTTGAAATAGTTCTATTAAGTCATCCCCAGCTTTCAAATCCTCCTCCATTTCTTTCCTGATTCCTGTTCTGAGTTATCTCTGTTGTTTTGAAAAGGAGAGTCTCCAGCCTAAGCCTGTGCTCCCAAGTCCTGCTGTTTGTTGCCTAAGGAGCACACAAAGGTTTAGATTGCATCTTTTCAATGCATTATGGCACCGCAGCCTAAAGCCAATACTTGTTTTTTAACTGGCAACCTGCCTGTACGAATGGAGGAAGCAGATTGCCTCTTTGCTGAACACTTAGACAAGGTACTGATTTAACAACAGTGGACAAGCAGCTGGGAGCTGGGCTGTCAGCCTGTCACACACTGACAAATCTGTTGTTCATATTCAGGCAGGATGTTCCAGTTAGATTGCCATCAGTATCATCCATCTACCACAGGCATGCGAAGCGTACCCGCATCGCCTGCATACCCATGGACGAAATGCTGTTGATACAGCTTTCCGAGGAAATCTTAAGAAAACAGCTAATGTGCAGCTTTTTTTTTTTCCTTGTGGTCTTCTGCAATGAGATCAGCAAGAAACCAGATTTAATTTTTGTCTCTTCCTTTGTTTTCCATTCTGTATGCTGGAATTATGCGTGCAAATTGGTAGTTACTCCAATTTCATGTCTCGAGCATGAAAAGAAACCTCTGAGTGGAGCCTTCCCACTTTTTGTCAAGCTAGATTTTTTCAAAATTGGAGTCAATAAAATACAAACTAAAACAAATTATGAAAGCAAAAAAAAAAAAAAAAAAAAAGCAGATTAATAAACGCACATGGAAATTATGTTGTTCTGGCTTCCAGACTGATTTTCAACATATTTTCATGTAACCGTTGTGTTTGTAACACTGAAATAGTGCACTCCTGAATTATTTCATCTGCATGGAGAGCTCAGTCTGTGAGGGAACGCTCAGATGAAACCTGTCTGCTCGCGTTCATGTTCATCAGCTGCCATCAGTCTGCGCTGGGCTGTGCAGGAGCGGGTGCAGGGAGGGTGCATGTGTCAAAGCTGTAGAACACGTGCTGTAAATATTTTAACACAACCACACTCTTACCTATTCCTTTCATCTTCTGTTTTTTCTTTTTTATTTGAAAAAGCTGCTTTTGAATACTCTGACTGTACATTCAGCAGATTATAGTTTTAAATTATCTGTCCTTATGTCATAGTTATCCCATTTGCAGCCCTGTGTGCCCTTTATCTTTTCCTGTTTCAGCCTCAGATCTATAATCCCAAAGCCCACGGAATGAACTCCTAAATTTAGCTAGGGAAGAAAAAAAAAAAAAAAGAAAAAGTCTATCTGTATAATTTCGTCTGAATTTACCATCTGATTTGCTGCTGCCTGTTCATCACCTCTGAGTGATAGAAATAACCTGCAGCTCTCTCAAGGAGGTGATGGAGGAAAGAGTCTGGTTAACTTTCTACTAATTCTCAGGGTGTTATATATCTTTTTACATTCACAGACAGACACCAGTGTAATTTAGAACAGTAATGACTCTGAAAAGTGGTAAGCTAGTCAGATTCTTAGTATTAATCTATATCCTTTCACATTTTAACCTAATACTGCAAAAATCATAATGCGACATACATTTACGTAGTGTATAATTTAATCAGCTAATATCTTCGAGTCCTCTCTGTAGCCTCTTCAATATAATACCATTTCTGGTCAAGAAAGCCACTTAACTTCACTATATTTTTCACAGTAAGGTTCAAGATCTTCTGGAAAACACCGAGTTCATGTAGGTTAGTTACATTTTCTGTCTAAAAGGAAAAGAAGAACCTTGCAATTTTAAGCTTTTTTTTTTTTTTTTTCCAGTAAACCCATGGAGTGCTGGAAGCCATATAAACGATTGGTAAAACATGCATAAAGAAGGCAGGCTGATGATCTATGGGATTTTCTTTGTTGAAGCAACCACAGCCCGAAGCCTGGTCTGTTAAAACAACCCTGCAGGTTTGTCAGTCTTCAAATGCAGGCTGTAGGCACAGCAGATAAGGGGATTTCTGTGTTCTTGTTAGAAATATAAATGAAGTCTTAGAGAATCAGACTGGTTCTGTGGTTGAATATGAATAGAAGTAAACACACTTTAAAGTGTTTTATACCTGGTTGCATGTCAAGGCTAAGCTCCAACTTTTTGTACAGAATGGCAACAACATCGGTTCTCTATCATTATAAGATCTCTGTGCGTTCTGTTCTCGTCTCTGAAAACTCAGTCATTTTTGATTGACAGGAAGATTACCTAATAAACCTTCCCCACAAACTAATTAATCACTGTGAATACAACACTAAATTGGCAAGCATAAAAAAGCAAATGAGATGGGTGTTGAAGACCGTTTTCAAATGACCTTAGTTGAAAGCCAAGTACAGAGTGCTAAAAGCATCAGTAACGTAAGGCTGCTGGTAAACTTCTTCACTGGGGTAGGTGGCTTCACCCACTGTGAGGGTGGGCTGTGATGTCAGGACATGATCAGACAGGAGCCCATCCAATTGGTGGGACTGGGACACCACCTCTCCCAATAGAGCTTGTGAGGTGGACCTCCTTTATAGCTATTCTGCCCTTTTTTTGCAGCTATTGATAGCAAATACTTCTCACAAATTGAGTATTGTTACAGTCATTATTATTGTAATGCAGAAATCCCAGTGTGCCCATAAGCTTTATTTCACAACCAGAGGGCTCCTCGGCACACGGCCTTGCGAGCGCCTCCTCCTCAGACACAGGTTTCATCAAGATAAAGTCATCACAGGGTGATATTCCTGACAAGTTTATCAAAGTCTGAGACTTAGGTCAACACGAGATCTTAGTTCTCCACTTTCTTCTTTCTTTTCTGATGATTAAATACCATGCATTGCCTTATTTATGGCTCAGGTATAGGGCACACTAGCATCACAGCAGGAAATGCAGTTGCCAACTCTTTCATCCAGGAGAAAGCTCTCCTGGGTTTGTTCTACTGGGGCTACTCAGAGAGGCCAACACTAGGCTTTGCTTGGGCAGCAGAGCAGGACATGTGGCCTCTGCCATGTGGGGAGCAGAGCTTAGAAATTCAGAAGGAAATGAAAACAAAACCACGACAGTGAACAAAACCAGTGTGAAGGGTATGGTGTTTTTGGTGGGGTTTTTTTTTTTTCAGCAGATGTAGAAATCAAGAGTTGTGTTTCTATCTGTAATTACTGACTGCTGAAGCCTGTTTTGGTATGCTTTCAGCTTAACACCAGCACCATGTTTCAGTAACGCATTACTTTATCCATTCATCCTGCGAGTGGAGCAACACAGGCTCTCTCCCCTGCAGTTCCCAAATGGGTATCCACAAACCATCTTAGGGGCTGGCTAACTTTTTGTTCCTGATCTTTTTCTTCTTCTACTTCTCCTGCACAAACCAATGGCAGTTGCTACCCTGTGCCTATGGGCAGATAGGAACAGTGACTAACTGGAATCCAGCTGGTGCTTCTGCTTTTCACTTAACGTTTGAATAGCACTTAAAATAATAATCTAAAATGTGCAACCTTTGAACTGCCTTCCCCTCCAGCTTTGTGGGGCTGTACATGAGCTCAAAGGGAGCCAAGCACAATGGGCATTTACCGGGCAAGAAATCTTCAGTGGGGCTCAAAACAAACTCAGCCTGAGCCAGATGGCTGGTTTTCTCCATAGCATTTGCATCTTATTCCCTTCTCCATCCCACAGGTTCATGTGCACACTTGGTCCCATGGCACACTCCTCTGCACAAGCTACATCTCATCACCAACTACAACCATTGCCCTGCACAACAAGGGATGGCAGTGGCATGGCTGCTGCTCTCCAGCCGCTGCTCAGCCTCCCACAGCCCCCCCTTCTGTCCCCCTGCCAGCCCCTTCCCCTCCCCGCTTCCATCCTGACTGCTCAGAGGCAGCAGAGAGAGGGAGAAAGGAATTATTTATTGTATGCCTGTTGAAAATGAAAGGCTTTTACATTTTAATGAGCACTAAATAGGAGCGAGGAAATATTGTTCATTAGCTGTAATCTGTGGAATTGCTTGAGTGAACTTCCTTTGGAGGCCGCTTTAAACGGTTCACTCAAGTAAAGCAGTTTGTATGGTAATTAAGGGAGCATTTTTCTGTCAACATCTGTGCCGCTATTTATAACGCTGAAGGTATCTTATTACTCCACCAGAGAAACATTAAAGAGGATGGGCAGAGGGATGGTTGTATTTTTTTTAAATATATATATGTACGTATGTGTGTATATATATATATATATGCATATAATGTTTCTTTCTCTCTTCAAAACCTCTCCCTTTCTCTTGCTTCATTTTTCCTTTCTTATTCTCTTCCCGCTACCCCTCAATTTGCCAAGAAAAACACCCTGTCCAGTGTTTTGTGATAGTAAGGATTATCATCCTGACATCTTTCCATTAATCATAGCCTTTGTTCAGCAGCCAGGCAAGGAGACTCAATCTGCTCAGCAAAAACAAGAGGCCCATGTCTTTGGAAACCACTCTCATCTCTCATCACTCCACAGTACTGGAGATGCCTTTTGGCTGCGTTATCATGGTGTCCCTAGAGGGATGGCACAACATGGCTGTATCCTCAGTGCATCCCTCTTGGAAGCCTAGCCCAAGCTGCTGTTGCGCTGCAGGAGTGGCAAGCGGTTGCAGGGGGAAATAACCTTTCTCATGTTTGGTCTCATCACAATGAGGTTGATGCTTCAATTTTCTGCTGTAAGGCTGCTTGGGAGAAGAGTTTGGGTACTAAAAATGGACTTATTTTTCTGCGTACAAAAACAGAAAGATGTGTGTTTTCATTTGGTTGGTGGTTGGACTTGCTGACCTTACTGGTGTTTTCCAACCTTTATGATTCTATGATAACACTGATCATCTCAACCTTGAACAGCCTGTACCATACCAGAGCAATACAGAGCCATCACCAGGTATTGTTTTATTCTACTTATTCCATCTTTGTTTTTCCCTGTACTTACAACAATGTAGTTTGCATCCTGAATGCAGTTCTTCACTTAGAATATAGCAAATGTTGTCCTGAAAACTGGTATCACTAAGGTGGAGATGGATGTCACACAATGCCTCTGAGACCAGTTGGCTCACAGTGTTTCCTAAGTAGCTATGAGGCATCTCCTGTTCTAGTCGTGTTCAATTCCCACTTCCCAACCCTAAAGGTCTTTCTGCTTCCTTTCTCATTATCTAGAAGCTTTGTTTTTGCCTCTGCTGCTTTCTTTCTTCCTTTAGCCTTCCGATGTTAATTTCTTCCTCCCCACAGCTAGACCCAATCTGGGGATTTTGCATGGGTTTTTCCTGGGTGTTCTGCATACATACTGAGAAAGCTGTGGAGAAGAGAGAGGAACATTCATTCAGTGCTATGAAGGTTTTACTTGGTGCAATGGAAAATATAAAAATAAATAAATAAATAAACCTTCCAATATACGTGGAAAAATGCAAGTAGAGCTAAAGCTTGCTAGAGTGCACCAAAAGCACTGCCCCATATAAATTAAAGATGCTTTGCCAGAGCCAATAACTTTTATAGATTTTTCTTTACCTGTAATGAAGGAAAAATATAAATGACTATCATAAAAAGTAAACATTAGAAATAGAAAATCCCTTTTACAGCATTCAGTCCATCTTTCTGCTAATAACAACTTGTTCCCTATAGTATATTTTTCCAGTGATTCCTCTAGTCTAGTGTTAAACATTTCTAGTGTTTCTAGGGCCTTGCTGCTCCCTTGAGAGGCAGTCTGAAAGCCTTGTGCATTTCAATGTCAGGAAGTTTTTCTCAGCAACTTCAATTTTCTCTGTCTGTATTTCTTCCTGCTAGTGTTAGGATGTCTCTATAATTAGTTCTGTTCATTTGAATTTTTTTACTGATGCTCTTTAGAAGGTATGTGCATTGCAATTCTGTATCACCGTTTCACAGCTACAAAGCAAGATTTCCAACTGCGCTTTTTTTCTTAAATTGTTATTGAATTAATTTAATTCATAGGTAGCATTTCCTTATTGTTTGCATTCTATTTATAGCAAGAAAACTTATGGTATCACCAGGCTTAACACCACTGCTCTTTTATTTTGATGGGTAACCAAATTGCAAGACCCTGACATCTGCTATTTTTGATAAAGGGCCAATGCTGGTTTCAGAAACAGAAGTGCTTTCAAAGAGAAAAAAATGCAGACAGAGATCAAATAATGGAAAGCAAAACTTCTATTAGCAAGTAATAGAACCCCAATACAAAAAGGGTGATATTTTTCAGAAGAAAACAAATGAGTAAAAGTGTCTAATAAATGAGAAACTTACCTTATAGAAGATAGAATCATTGGTTGGAAAAGACCACTAAGATCATCTAGTCCATCCAACCACCAACCCACCCCCACCATGCCCACTAATCATATCCCTCAGTGCCACATCTCCACAGTTCTTGAAACACCTTCAGGGTTGATGACTCCACCACCACCTCCCTGGGCAGCCTGTGCCAGTGCCTCACCACTCTTTATGAGAAGAATTTTCCTCCTAATATCTAACCTGAACCTCCCCTAGTGCAACTTAAAGCCATTCCTTCTCACCCTATTGATCTTATTACCTCTCACAAGGTGCATGGACAACTGTCTGATAGTATGAACACTGTCAGGAGCAAAGCAACACAGTGCATGTCTTTGCTGAATTGGAAGAAAGCAAAAAAAAAAAAAAGTACTTATTAATCAGGAAGCTGCCAGAAGGCAGTATTTGATTATTGTGTCCAACCTTCTATGTATCACAGAATTTCAGATTTGCCATGGATCTCTTATGAATTTGGTTTGACTAAAGCAGAACTTCCTAGAGTTACCCAATTTTGATTTATTTAATTTCCTTTTGTGTTTAAACTTTTCAAGTATCTTCAGCTAAGCTTACAGTGCCTGAGGGCAACTCCAGAGGATATGTAAAGACCTCCACTTGGTTACTATTGGCTGTAATGTTATAATTGTCTACCCTGGTGATATAGGACTAAAACAGAAGCTTGCCTACTAATTGGTTAACTCTACCTTCTGCAAGGCACATTTTATTTATTTTCATTGAGTATTGAATTCAACCTAGTTGTTTAACACCTTTTATTTAAGAGGCTTTGCAGTGAAATAAAAGAAATACTACAGAAAAAGCAGGAGAGGAGGAAAATAACTCTTTACAGTAATTGCTCACTATCACTTCAATTTTATTAGCGGTGAAAACAACTTTTAAGCATGTCAGATACTCCTACTCCTACCTCTTCTGTTAAGGTAAGTAAACTGTATTTTAAAAATATCTTCCTTCTTAAATTGTGACAAAATTGTTTCAGCACTATAAAGTATGGTCTTATATGGTGTCATATAAAAGGCAGCATCACAGACTGCTCTAGTTCTGCATCAACAGTGCATCATCTCCTTCCAGATAAAGTCTTACATGTGAGCTTATCTTTGGATATGAAGTTGAATGGAATTTAAGTTCATGGAGAATCTTTAATGCTTTGCTGAGTGAGAATGCATTTTAGTAGATCCTTAAGTACTTTTCTCAAGAGGTTTTACCATGCATAGGACTTCTTAAAAGGCCCTTCTGAGTTAAAAATACCTGAAGTTCTCTCTAATGAGGATGTATAGCATTCTACTCAAGGTAATCAAGACTTATGACATCACATATTTTAAAATTCTTATTGGGAAAGACAGAAAAGTCTTACAGTTGATCAAATAAGGGAACTTTCGGATGAAAGATAGAAACAGAGGAGGATTGCAGTACAGTAAAAGTGCATAAGCATCTCTTAGTGAACTTCTGCATTTATAATTTTCTTTATCTGTAACGTATTTAACTATAAGCTCTTTAAGGCAGGAATTCATCATTCTGAGTATATATGAGAAGCCTAATGTGGTTCAGGGTGTGTTTTAATATTTAACAGCAGATCATTTTCTGCACATGTTATAGAGTTTATTGTCATGATATGTGTTGTTATTTATTACATATCTCAACGATACAGTAGACGCAGACCAACAGGCAATTTGGGCAATTAATCATAGTATTTTCCAAAGATCTAAAACATTCTGTGTTTTTGGAAGGTATTTCTGAGGCTTTCCAGGTAGTGCACCATTAACACATGACGGGGCATGTTTCAGAGGTTCATTAACACATGTTGTAGATGTGCAGCCTCATGCATTCAGCCACCTGAGGCATGCATTAATGGACCATTAAAACATGCCCAGGAGTGTCTTAATGCTATTACAGTACGGCTCTGCAATTTTTAATTCAGCTTTTTTATAAAACGATTCTTTTCCAAAATACAATTTTTACTATATTGCAAAGCCCCTACTCAGAAAAGAAAGGGTTATTGTGACCTAAGATTAAGAAAGCACCTGGATATGGATATAAATACCCTTTTTTTCTACCATTTTAATACATTTGATTTTGATTTTATATTGTTTTATAAATAGCATAGTCCTAAGGCCTGATTCACGTTTTTGCTGACCTATCTTCCCACTGCTCAGGAAATGTAAAAGAGTCTTAAAGTGCCATAAATGTAAATTGCACCCCCAGACTACTTAGCTTAGTTGCTAATTTCAATAGACATTTCTAGGTTTCTAGGTGAGTAACTCTTGAGCAGCTTTGGATTTCTGTGGAGAAAAAAACAAAACTGGAAACCCAAGCAGTTTGACAAATAAGTTTTGCTGTAGAAGGCTAAAACTAGGAAAGGGAAAAGGAGTTATACCACAGGTGGACAAGCTGCTCACATCTTCAGTAACGTGCTGTTACGGATCGCAGTTTCACATTCAGTTACACATCTCAACCTTGGCTGAATTCATTCTAAAATAATCAACTATCCATTATTATTCTTATTTTATGATTTCTGTACGCCAGTAATACAAATAATGTTATCTTTATTATAATCCAGTGAACTACTGTCCTTGTTTTCATAATAATTCCCTCATGAGCACAAAGTGCAGGCTGTGGAGCAAACCACTTCCCCCCATGTCAGCCTCCACTTCATTTAAAAGTTGGGAGCAGCATAAAGAGCTTGGAAGTGCTTGAACCAGCTGAAGAAAATTTCTTTAATGATAGTGCCCTGAAAGAAGGCCATAGGCCACACTTCAAAAAATTCACCATCTGACCCAAAACAAAATATTATTTCAGGTCAATTTTAACATTGCTTTTAGATTTTGCTTTTATGTATGTGTTTATTACTGCTGGCCATCTCATTTAATGTGTGACAGCCAGCAGTCATGTTGAAATGATGCATTGCAACACATTGCTCAAAAAAGATTGTAATTATGTATCAGAGCATTTTTTTTTCCATGTTTCTTTCAAAAAAAGCTATTTAAGAAAATTCTTTTCCTCTTTCTAAATTAGCTTTTTGACAGAAAAAGTTGCTGTGAAACTCCACATTTGGACTGGTGTAGCTTAGAGCTGTGTATTCATCATCATTATCATAATAATAGCATTACACCATTATTTTACATACTCTTCCTCCTCTAACATATATAAGTACAGTGCACTGTAATTTGTAAATACTGTGCTTTCAATCAGCAGTGCTTGAGCAGGAGCTTCAGAATAAGGTTGGGTCTAACCAGAGCATCATCACAGGCTATAATATGCTCATCGACCATGGATCCTCCATGTTCACCAGGGCACAGGCAGAATGTGGAATGATATGTGGCTGAATCATTGGTGGGAAATTGCAAGGATCTGGGAAGCTCTTCTGAGAGCTGTGTTGTTTGTCAGTCTTGGAGCTGGAAGATCTGAGCAAGAGCCTTAGTTCTATGATCCTTAACTTTATCGCAAGTGGTGAGATCTGAGGGCTTCTCTTCTGTGTTGTCCTTCCCCATGCCAATTTCAAGTGTGAGGAGTTCTTAAACAAGCTTTTTTGAAAGAAAGAAGAAGGGTGGTACTTGTTTTCATTCATAAGCAGAGCAAGGAGATGTAACTGGATGTAGTGCAAAACTTCTGTCAGCAAATAAAAGGAAAAGGCTGTTGGAGTCAGTGCATATGTGCTGCTCAGTGAATATGGCAGCATTGGTGGCTGTCACCTTCAGGTTGAGTTTGTAGTAATTACGTTTTCCAGTCATATGGAAATCCCTCAAAATTACACATGTGCAGTATTTCTCATGTTGTATATTTTCACAGGGAATTCTATATACAGATGATCTGCAAAGAACTTGTATTAATTTAAAACTATTTGAAGACAATGTTTGCTCGGAGCAGGAATTAGAATCAGTACTAGTTAAGCACATACAACTAGGAACTGTGGGATATAGAGTTTAAGCCTGTAGCTGCCGGAATTAAATCTAATTCATCGTTAAACACTTCATCTTCCTCTACAGCGTAGGTGAAAGGTCATACACTCCAAAAATATGATCCAGAAAGGGATAATGTGGAGAGGGAAATCCAGATCTAATAGGTAAGCAAAGATCCAGCTCTGAATTTACAATGCATTTGCTTCAGGGCTTTTCCGGGTTGTGAAGAAAGAAATGAGATGTAATGCTGGAACTGATTATGTGCGGAAAATGGGACGGTAGGGGAAGAGGCTCCAAGTTTGGGGTGGAGTTGGAGAAGTATGACTCCATTACTGCATGCTCTGCCCAAAATTTTTATCTTTTTGTTTCTTACTTTGCATTTTTTACATAATATAATCATTAACTCATTAACTTTTATTTTTATCTTTTTTTTTTTTTTTTTTTTTTTTTTTGGCACTTATATATGTTTTTATTTTTGCCTCATGCATTACTTAAAGAAGGAAAATGGTCAAAGGCTGAATGGCTCATTGGATCTCAGGAGTCTGCTGCTCCTGGGACTGTAGGCTCTTAAGAAATTGGCAGCTGTGCATAAAATAAATGAGAATATTATGTGTGCATTGATCATTAAAATAGCTAAGAGATTTAACAAATAGTTGTGTAGCTAGTAGGAAAAAATAAATAAAAGCAAGAAGATCCAAAGTGCTCTGTACAACTGTGTACTGTTTTTACTGTCATGACAAGTGATGAAGGTATGACATTCATCAACAATTGACAAAATGCTGTCAGGAAAATCAGTTTTTACCAGCAAGATGCATGACTCCTCTGAGAAGGTTCCAGAACTTGTTACACTTCACTTTCGAGAGTGAAGCAAATATTTCGATAATGTATTTTTGACAAAAGAAGACATAGTATTGATCAATACTATACTTTGCATATGAAAGCAGTTTATGAATAGCAGAATTCAGATTCCTACCCACAGCTGGCATTGACTAAAGATCAGTAATCATCATGTGAGCTCTAGTTTTAACTAAAGCAAATTTTCAGCTAAAATGGCTTGGTCTCATGTTCTGTTTTAAAAATACGTCAGGATTAATTAGTGAGTGTTAGTATTTTTCAAAAATTCTGTGGTTTTTATACATTTCCAGAAAGAGATGGAAATTTCCAGATTTCCAAATGGTTGCAATGGTCTTTCCAATCAGTTTTGTGTCAGCTTCTATAACAAGTTGAAAAGTCTGGGGAGGGGCAGCATTCCAGTTCTGATTCAAAAAAGTTACGTTGAGAAGTTTGTAAAGCAGTGCCTCATCATGTGCTTTGATTTTTATATTTTAGTGTGTTATGATAATGGTACATAAAATAGCTTTCAACTTTTGCTTTCACAGGCTTTGTAATTCCCTCTTCTGGGGAGAGCTATGTCACTGATACAATTTGGACTCTCTTCTGGCAAGTAGTGATAGTAGCTGATGTTAAACTTTCAGCAATCACTGGCTTTGCTGATGTGTCAGGTGAGTTTTACTGTTTTCAGTTCCCTCTACTGCAATTCTCAATCTTCTCACCTTCTTTTTTACCCTTTTGTACAGAAATCAGATATGAGTGTGACAGAATGAAAAGTAAGCTATCCATACCTCAAACAAGATCGTCCTGCATTTCATTGCAAAGTTTCAAAAGAAATTATTTAATGTTACTTCAAATAGCATCGTAGAATCATTAAGATTAGAAAACAACTCCAAGATCATCCAGCCCAACCATCCACCTACCACCAGTATTTCCCCACTAAACTGTGTCCCTCAGTAAAACATCTATGTTTCTCAAACACCTCCAGGGATGGTGACTCAATCACAGTAGCATCATACTGTCTAATATTGTTTCAGTACTTACAAAGAATTTATGAGCTTACTCATTTGCTGAAAGGAAATATTAGCACATTTTAAACAAAGACAATAACAAAAATAATCTCTCTTGAAAATGTGTTTATGGAAGAGATTTGTGGGAGGATAAAATCTGATTGGAAAATATTTAATGAATTGTCTTGAGCAGTGGAACAAATTTTGTTACTGAACAGTATTAAAAACCTGCAAGGCATTCCTAGGAAATTCCTTTTCTGGCCTTAGCCTACAGTACAGGGTGCCATTATGGACACCATCACTTAAACAGCAAATAATAACATAGGCTAGATGGGATATGAGAAGAGGAAATCAGTGTATAGGCATAGAAATGCTGACTGCCATCTGGCACAGATGTCATTTACTGCTGCTCATGAGTCAGGAACCAGTTAAATTTAAGATACTTAGCAGTCTGCTTACCCTTGTGCAAGGCTAAGTAATACACTGATTATTCTTTGAAGTTCCAAACTACGCGGTTCATTATTTTTTGAACAGAAAGTCTTGATAATTTTTTTGAAATTACTATAGTTTTTAGATTTATGTTGGTACTCTAAATAAAAAACTGTCACACTCATAGTGACATAAATATGTAATAAGAAGTAATTTTTCCATTCCAGAAGATTGTATTCTGCATTAAGTTTTTGAGAGAAAGCCACAAGTTAGCAAGCTGACAGAATTCCTGCTAAATGTGGCTTTTTCTTTCAATGGAGAGAAAGTGGAAGTTTTCATCTTAGTTTATTTTGAAAAATGCTTATACATTCCTCTTTATTTCCCTAAGTAATTTTGTTATTTTGCTAGAATATCTATGCATATATCTTCATATAGCATTACACAGCCATACGTATATTATAATATGTTTTACATTAGCTAGCACTGAAAAAATCTGTGGAAGAATTGAAGATGTTTTCTGTGTTTTTAGCTTTTGGAATAGTATTTGTATAACAAGAGCAATCAGTGGTTAAGTTAAATGTGCTCTGTCCAACATTTTCATAGAGAAGCAAAACTGAACACATGAACTCCTTATGTGCTGCAAATGGATATATTGAGGTATCTTCACTGATAATTGCCACAAGCAGCAGACTGTTCCTTTTGCTTATACATAAGGTCATTTGAATTTAAACCATGGAAAGTATCCTAAATGGGTGATGGAAGCTATTATTTTTATTGCAGTTTGATTAATTTCCAACTTCAACCTCTTGGATTCTTAAAATATCATGTTCTAATTGTATTATTTTTAGGCCAAAAAAAAAAAAAAAAACCTACGTTGTTTTGAGAAATTTGTTTTGGCGATGCAGACCAACAAACAAAATGATGATATTTTCTTCTAGAAAGAAAGTGAATTGGTGTTTAAACATAAATTCTGGCTGGTAAGTGAGATGATGGGGGGAAAGGGGGGTGGATAAAAGGCAGGGAAATGGGATGGGAGTAAAAGCAAAAGTAGCAACTGTGCCAGTCCTAAAGCCTTTTTAAAACATGGTTGCTTCTAGAATTATACTGTTAGCATTAACTACTCTACTAAATGTAATTTCAGAGCAGCTTGGCTATGCTGGGACCAATAATGTTTCAGCAGATGTTAACAGTGAGGGAATTTAAAGATTACAGAGTTTCATGGGTGTAGTAAAGCTGCAGTGGGAACAGAAATATTACCGTAGCTGTTATGTTCTGAGTGCACCACATTTACTGACAAGTAATACATGAGTGATAGTGAGGACCAAGGGAACAGAACTTTATACTTACTGGTCAGCAGCCTATAAATTCCATAAATTAAACAAAGTTTTATGTATTTTTCATTTCTCTTCAGAATGATCATCTCTAAGGGCCCCTGTTTCACGTTAATTCCACTGGCAAAGCATAGGTCTGTCTTTCAGCGTTACTTCAGGAGGGTATTTCCCCACTTGTGTGTTTCCTTTTCTTTCCTCCCAGTGTCCTCCAGATGTAAGGCTTTCGCAAGCAGCGCTTTCTCCCCAGTGATCCTTTATGGATCAAGCCACGGCCATCAACTGCCCAGCAGGAAATATCACGTACTGAAGGAGCAAAACCCTACACTGAAAGTCTTTTTTCTCAGAACGGTGCCATCCATTTTGTGCACCACTTCTGCCCTCAGTCTCAAGGCAAGGAAGTAATCATCATGACTTATTCAGCCCACTAGAGATCTAAGAATTCATGGAGAAGTTAATGTTTTAGTTGACCTTCCTAAAACATGAAATCTGCAAACCTGAGACAAGCAAGGCAAGCTAGAAGGATAGGTCTGCTGCCCCATGTAAAAACTAACAATGCAGTGTTAGCAGTGAATGCAGCGTGGGGGATTAATAAATGTAGTATGGCTGTCAGAGGTGAGGTGTGTGTCCACTGGTGGATCTGGCTATGGAGACAGGGCATGTACTGCAGACACCAATTCTGGCTTATGGAAAGCATCAGCTGCTATATTTGGGCTCAATTAAGTATGGATAACATATTCAGTTGAATTAATGTAAAATTTTATGTTTAGCTTATATTTATCTGGTATTCAGATATTCATGACCATCCAGCAACAAAATGATTTAAAAGTTAAAGAAACCGGAATGAAGAAGGGAAACAAAATTTATGCTATTTTCTAACCAAGAATGAAATAATTACAAGTTAGAACAAAGGTATCCCACATGTTCACAAAAAGAGAGCAGGAGAAAGTTATTATTGCATTCACATTTTGAAGGCACGCTCTTACAGACCATATAGAGCCTACTGAATTATTTTCTATTTTCAATTTGGGAATGAAGTAAAAAAAAAAAAAAAAAAAAAAAAAAAACAGATGAACTTCTGTCAACTTTCTCCATCACAAAGTTCAGTACAAGAGGTCAGCGATGTAAGAGCTCCCTTCCTGTGATGGTGATTGTGCAAAGCCCACTAACCAGTGCTGGTTCTACTCCAGTAGGGTCAAATGTGCTTATGGAAGAAAACAATACAGTACCACTATGATGCTTGTTAGGAACAAAGACACCCCCCCCCACCCAGCATATAGCAGTCTACATAGTGAAAGCCTTTTTATTTTGATGGCAGTCTTTCACTGTCTATCATAAACTTAGTGAAGCAGCTTTCTCTATCCAGCTCTCCTTTTATTGGGCACAAATCACTCCTGACAGGAAGTTTTATGCCTAAATCCGTTTACTGTCCTTGTTGGTAGTCTTTAAATTAATATTTATAAGCTGAGAGAGGACCAAAAGGATGCAGCAGTAAAATATCTAAATGCTTCAGTTTGGCTTGAACTGAATTTTCTCCTCTCAACCACTGACATTGCTTAATTACTAGTGACCCAGGCATGTATTGTCTCTGCTGCTCCAAGCCTACAGATCACTGCCTCTGATAGCATTGTGACTGACAAGTGGGGAAGTTCAAATGGTTTATATGATGTATTGGATGAACAGGTGTGGGTACAGGGAGTAGAGAGTGAAAAAGAAATATGTCCAGAAAAGCACCTTAAGAGAAGTAACTTAAAGCTGAAACATATGATTTGACTATGAGAAAAAAAAGAATGATATTTGAGTTGGCAAAAAAACTAAATGTAGTTGCTCTAATTTTAAACACATTGGGAAACAAACCAGAGGGCATACTGAGCTCAGAAAACTCAGATAGGCATATTCAAATCTTGAATGGATGATACATACACACACCCTCAGCAAAATGACCAGTTTCATTAAATCAGTAGGAAGGACAGTTCCTTTGCATAACAAAAACTGTTGGGTGAGCTGAAATTAGAACAAAGCTGATTAAAAGTAAAATCCTGTTGCATTCAATTGCTTCCTCCTTTTTGTTACTATTTTAATTTTCTTTTTCTTGATGTCTCACTTCTGTCAAAGTTTGTTGAAGGATGTGCAACAGAAGAAAAGCAAGTGTAATACAAACCTAATCAGCTGTCACCACCTTAGCATTCAGGCGCATAAAAATAATGAGGCTGACTAGACTGGAAAGAAGTACAGATAACAAATGGTGGAGTCCTCTTAAAATGCTGTTAGAGGGGAAAAAAAGTGTTGAAGAGAAAAGGAACAGAAGAATCTAACCTGCAAGTTGTGTATGTGCACCCTAACCCTGACACAAGTTAAATTTTAGCACATCTGTTGTTTTATGGTTATGTGAGAGTATCCCTAAAGAAAACGTAGTAGATAGCCACCCATAGAAGATGCAATATGTCTACATCACTGTTGTGTGTACGTAATGTGAAATCTCTTACATAAGGAGTGAAAGAAACTTTTATGTTCTCCGGGTAACAGAGAAACAGCAGAAGAGGTTGTAATGCAAAAAATTAAAGATCTTTCTAATCTATAATTCATGTCTCAGCATCTGCTGGATCTGACCATAAGGAACATCTAAAAGGTGAGTTCTGAACATCCATTTCATTTTGAGAATGAAGCCTGTCCAACCCTATTTTATTTGTTCTGCAAATACTTATTTAGGGACATAAATAACATTTTTGTTTTGTTTATTTGCAGATTTGATTTATTATGCTTGACCAAAGTTTCTTTTACATTCCTGGGTGCTGTCTTTTGTTAACAGTCTACTGATACATCCTTATTGCTTCCCTTCCTGGGAGAGCTGTACTTCATGTATGCTACATTCACACACAACAATGGGGCGCATTTGATATGTGGGAAGAAGACTGGGAAATAAACCATTAATTCTTCAGTGCCTCGAAACTGCTGTTCTTTTGTGCTCAAAAGCCTAAGCTGCCTCAGGTAGTCTTCAAACTCCTTTTTAAATAGTGTTCCTGCCAGCTGAGATAGCAAATGACTATAACAAGCCTACTCTCACAATTATAAAACGGGCACAATTATGTGTTCTATTAGAATGACTCAGACTTCCCCTAAATCCTATTCTTCCTGAGCAAGATAAAATTATAAGACTTGTAGAATAAGCCGATCATCTGCTGAGGGCAACTAATTCCCTTATAAGTCTCTCTGCTCTTGGGTAATCAAGCATCCAAAGAGATTCATTCTGCAGCTTAAAAGGAGATAGTATTTTGACACCTGAGCCAAGTATCCCAAATCTCTAGACGCAAAGTAACATGTGAAATTCTAAGAAGGACATGACATGGTAGGATGTGTGGTATTACAAAGCAAGATGTAAAAGGCAGGATGATGCAGGGCATTGGAGGTAAGAATGTGTGCTCAATCAGCCAATTAACTATTAGCTCACTGTCTCAGCGCTCCCTCCTCATCCTTTTCATGAGGGCACAACTTAGCAGTAGATAAAGATGAAAAAAAGCAAAGTGTAACTGTATTTTTCATTACCTGTTTTTCTCAAGTTTTGCTTTTGGCTCTTTCAAATGCATTAAGCATGCCACAAGTACAGGGGTGTCTTTTCTCTAAGTCAGTGGGAATGATACCTCCGTTCAAATGCATTTGTAGTCAGGTTTGCATTTTGTTCTCAGGCCTTAGAAAAATTGCAGCTTTCAGCCTCTTTCTGCTTAAGTATTGTTGCCTAAAGCAGACATTGGGACTGTCTAAGTCAGAACAAGACACTGACTTACTCTGTGGGTTTTTTTTTACTTCTTTATGATTATTTAGGTGCCTGGTTTTGTTAATGGTTTTTCTTAACGAAAAAAAAGCAAAAATTGAAGACTAAAGCAGTTCATAAAGATTTGGAGAAAGATTGTCTAAATGCCTTTATTTTATTCTAGCTCTTCAGCAATTATGATAATACTTTTTGTGTACTGTTTCAGTTTTTCCATCATCAGGATGAAAGGCACTATGTTTCTCTATAGCATCCTCAGAAAAGCTGACCTACTAGCCATAAAATGAGGTAGCACTTGATACAACTTCCTTTTTCTGAACCTTTTCTGCTATCAGAAGAGGACTGTGGAACTTTTCCACACAAACATCACTGGAAAACTCCTCCCCTTTTGGTAGTGTTTTTCTACAAGTTGGATGAAGAGTTCATGCGCACACAGTCAACCATTTGCTGAAGAAATATGTGCCCATGGCTGAGGGATGCTTGCTAAATGGACTGTCGTGCTTTCAAAATGCACTTTCCCTATTGCCCTGACCTGAAACAAAGCCCCATGGCAATAATTTTCCATAGCTGAGAGACCTTTAAATTGAAATGTTGGGAAGTTGCCTTTCCATTGGCTCCAGCCCATTGTTCTCAATAGCCCACTTACTTTAACTTCCAGCTGTCCTAATAGAGGCAGAATAGTCAGCTCCCTGCTTCGTGCTGTGCTATCAAATGTCTCCCTGTCTCCTGGTGTGCAAGCTTTGCTCTTTTGGGGGAAAATCCTTTAGATATCAGGTATTTCTGATACACATTTTCACACTAACATGCTGAACATCTTAACTAGGATGTAAATTTTCTGTTAAGCTGTTTAGGCTAGGAAGGTAACCGCTGTATCTTGGTTTTATACCAGGATTCCTGGATACTATCCTAGCATTGTGGGGAGCTCAGAAAAGGCTTGCTGCTCTTCTCTGCCTCTCTAGGTGGCTTGTTATCTTGCCGTGGTGCTTTTCATTTCCCACTGCTCTTCCTCTGCTTTTCTACCCTCTCTCAGGAGCTGGATAGAAACATCTTCTGGACTGAATGAAGTTCATTTTTCTCTCTCCTCCACTTGTCTTTCTTCATCGTTTTCCTTCAGAGCCTTAGTGCCCCCTCCGTACCACCCACCATTTCCCTAGTGAATTTTTTGTGTGGAGAGAAGGGCAAGGAAACCAGGACAGAAGGCTCACTTATTCCTATGGCCAGAGACAAGACAATGTAGTATTTGTTACCACTGTTTTGTGTGCTTTGCCTGAAGTACATAGGATTTCCTCCATGGCAGGGAGTTCTTCAGAGAGGAGATGGGATTTAGGAAGTCAGATGCCTTGAAGTCTGATCCTCCTTCTTTTCCCCATGAGTGACAAAGATTAAATCTTATGGTACTTCACATAGCTTCTGTACCAACACTGATGCTTTCTTCAGAGTCTGAAGGAATTACAGCCATCTGTGTCTGGACAGAGTTATCAAGTGCTGGATAGTAAAAAAGTTAAAAATAAAAGGAAAAGGAATGATTCTTCAGGCCACAAGGATTTGAATGTCCGCAGCCAACCCGTTCTCTAACCAAACTCCTCGGAGAGCTAAAACTGTAAGTAAGAAGCTTTAAGCTACTGCATGAGACTTCTGTGCTGCCACATCAACAGCTGTAAATCTGCTCTTGAGCTCTTCTTGCTTACCCTGTAGGGGAAGCAAAATTCTGCCTGGATGATGCAGTAGCATTTGGCAGCAGCACTCTGGCAAGCAGACTTCCAGATGTTTGATGAGAATGACAGCCTCTGAGTGGGAGTGCTTGAGTGTGTGCATGCATGGCACTCTTTAAAATTCAAGGCTAGCTTGCAGCATTATCAGAGAGTGAAAATGTCAAAAGAAGGCAGTGTTCATAGCAGGCATCGCATTTCAGGCCTTAGGAGAAAAAATCGAGGAAAGACAACACTGAAGCAGTTCAAAAATGCAGAAAGGGGGACCACAAGTAGACCAAACAAGTCTGGGTGATGTAGAATTGACTGCTACCCCCAGCCCAAGCCCATGAATCAGTGTACAACTAGTCTCACTGGAGGTATTCCAGATCTCTGTGCCTCATCACATTTATTTTCTTCTGCACAGCCCCCCATCCAGTTGCCCTACATTCAGAATAATGGACTCTATTGCCTGGCTGTTGCTGCTGACCTTGTCCTGACATCTTCCACAGATGTCCTGCACTGCTGTGCCATTCCTGCAGTCCTTCCTTACTCATGCTTCTGTGCTTTTTGCTGTCCACACAGCCCAGTTTTCCTTTGCATCTGAGGCTGTCTTCTTTCTATCCAGCACCTCCAAGTCAATGCTTCTTGCCTGCCATTGAACAGCAGATGGTTTTTGCTGTATCCTTTTCTCTAACCCTTTGCCTATATGCTCTACAAAATGTGCATGTATATATGTTAACTTGATTTTTTTTTCTTTTCCCCATTATCTGAAATGTTTATTAGAGTTCTGTGATTTACTACAAATTTGAGTGGAAAAATATATTTTCCCCAAGTTTGAGAACTAATCAAGTTACATTACTCATCTGTTGTCATTTCCATACTTTTTTATTTCCTTCTGATGAAAGCTTTCCATGAAAAGCTTTTTTTGTGCGTAGTTACATTATATGAGATGATTTTGGATGTGTGAAAATACTTCTGTGCTCCAGCTTAGATGGTGCCCCCTTCTATTGAATTCCCACTTTCCAAAATACCTCATGCATTTCTCATTGTGCTGGCGATCTTTGTATTTTGATTGTAAGCTTTGCTGTCTCCACAGAACTTTTCACACACAAATTTATTAGTCCTTATTTCTTCCACTTAAACATAAGCCTCCTGTAATCTGACCTTGATGTCCCTTTACAAAGTGAAGACTCCTGGATTGGTTTTGTTTAAGAGAGGCTTGTTTTCTTTCTCAGCTGGATCCTGCAGTGTTGGGCAGGACATCAAAGGGTCATGGTGGCTGAGCACACTAACTGCACCTTCCTGCCCCTGTGAGCCATGCTGAAACACAGGTTTTGACAAAGTACTTGTACATTGTTCTGATAATCACAGCTCTCTTTGTAAAGTATCTGTACAGCTCTGCTGAGGGTAAGGAAGCTTATTGCTCAGTCAACTGCTTTTATTCCGAAGCTGCTGTCGACTTCCCTAAATAAACTGAAAGGACCAGTACTTTCCCTGGTGTAACATCACTGACCTCTCTGAAATTACACCGGGGATGAATTTGATCAGATTTGTCGTCAAATACATTTTGTACCAGCAGGAGCACAGATGAACAAGGCGAGCCATCCCGCAAGTCCAATCCAGGGCTCTTCAGTTGCCCTCACTGTTACCCCAGGCTCCTTCCTCACCTTAGGCAGAAGGGAATGATAAGGTCCAACTTGTCAGGACTTATTACTTATTCACGAAGCTATCACACCTTTGACACATCTGTCAGTTTTTATACAAAAAAACGAATGAGCAAGGATGCTGAAGTTTCCTTTCAGCACACTGGAGGGCAGTCCTTTTTACCACACCCTTAAGGCTTTCATGTCAGGGCTTAGTTGCAATGACAGAGCAGTGTGAGAGAGCTATCATTTTGTCTGGCCATACTGTGCTTTCCTCTGGACAGCTTATACTTGCCCCCTGGTATTTCAGAGAATTAAGCTTTCATCCTTTAAATAAATAAATAAATAAAATGCAGGGTGTACTGTTTATAAATATATAACACCAAACACCCAATTTGTGTTAGATTTATGGATTACATGAAGATATTCCCTTTTTTCCCCCCCCCCCCAGTGTTTCCTGACATAAATTCAGCACATTGCCTCATCATACTTTTGAAAAAGCAAACAGCAAAATATTTGCAAAGATACAAAAATCAAGAAGGGCAGTACACTGAATAGAGTAGTATATTTTCTGATGTTTGTGGTCATATCTGTAATTTTAAATTGGATAAGTAGTATCACAAAATTCAGATTAATACTTAAACCACTACGGATCTTAGAAAACGTCGTGTTCAGTAGAGTATATGGCTAACAGTTACAAAGTGCAAAGGATATGCATAAGCATGGCTGGTTTATGAAAATTCTGCGTGTATACAGAATGTATTTATTTCCACATTTGGGCTTTGGCTGCATTCAAAATTAAAAAAAAAAAGGCTTCTTATTAATTTTACATGAGCTTTTTTGGCTATCTCATTGAAGGCTCAGTTCCAAGCAATTTGCTGCATCCTTTTTTAAACACAGCCATTATATAAACTGAACTTAAAACTGGTTCTAAATTTACACTGCTTCAGTAATTCAATTTTCACAGTTCTATTTTCTAAAAATCACAATAACTAGGAATGATGCTTTCTAATGCTTTAAGTCATTAATATCTCCAAGAATGAGAAGGGAAAGAATGAATGTAAGGTGAAGTAATTCAGTGCCACCATATATACAACTGGTTTCAGCTTTTCTTCAAAATCTATAATGCATTCAAAACCTGAACTTAATAGACTAAGCTTCCGTGATATATTCCCATACTGGCAGTGAGCTTGTCAGCCCTTTGTGAACATGTTTAACTTATTTATATTGCAGTTCTCAAGAGTTCTGGAGACTTCTTTTTTAAAACAATAGATGCCTCAGGAGGACAAGATATTAACTAATAGTACTTTCCCTTTGCTTTAAAATGTTTTGAAAAGGAAATGCCTATAGATATTTTATAGTTTGGAGTCATGTTTTATAAAGATGTAGGCCTATTCGTTCAAGTAGTTTGCAAGGTTGGGTATATGCATGTGTGTATTTAAAATTAATCAGATTTTAATTTGGTGATATCAGACAGAAGTGACAAAATAGAAATACTGTACTGAACTTTATTCTTTGTGGAAGGATGGATGAACAGATAGAGATAGAGGAGCATGATGAAGAAGAGACATCCAGCAAGAACCCTGCCTAAGGACAGAAGCACAGAATGAGTTCATGCATTATTAACCATAAAGAATCCACACAGTATGTATATCTATATTTCTGAGAGTGTGAGAGATGGACCATATGTGTCCCACCCGTGGGAAAAGCCTCAACTGTAGTTCACAATTAATTATGAGACACAAAGCAGTAGGAAATACAGCATCATTAGTTCTGTTCTTGCAGAACTACTTATTTATGTTTTTATTTTCCTCCCACTGTGCTTCAGAACATAGATAATGTGACACTTGAATGTGCCTCAGGACTTCTTTATGGAGTTATTTTGCAACCACTTTTCAATCTGTGATAAAAAAGAATGAGCACATATGTTAAACAACATCAATCAAGTAGTTATTCTTTCTTGTACACATATTACTCTCCTAATCCATATAATCTCTTCAGTAGTAGTAGCAGTAATAATAATTTTAAAACCCATAGACTCAGTGGTGTGAGAGGATGTCAAGTTGTTCTGAATCTTAAAGGTGGCAAAAGTTGATTCAGAAATGATAAAGTGTCTGAGAGCTCAATCCAACATTTCTCAGTGTTTTTGTGTTTCTTTGTAAGACTACTTAAACACTATTCTCATCCTTGATAGCAAAGAAACTCAACTGCTTTTCTGGCACTCAATGAGATGTGTGTAGATATGGAGGGGGAAAAGGGCAGTGACTGCAGTAGGAACATCATCAAATGAGCCTGAAATGTCATGTGAACAGCTTCTTTTCCCTGCTTTATATTCTACCTTCGTTCTCAACTTATCGGGAAGAAGAATGAAGTACGCAGACAATAAAATGGCCACAAAATGATTAGATCATCAAAACTAGTGTCATATGTTCTGTGTCCTAATTACTGAAAGTTTGTTGATCCAGAAATGGTGCTTCATTTCCTTCCTCCAAGAATCCTATCTGTAGTTAAGTTTAATAATTTTCAGCTAAAGCTTTATTTTCTCCTGTGCTTTTGTTGCAGATTTTCTTCCTGCCCCATTGGTTCTCCCATTCTTTCACAATTCAGTTTGTGTATTGTTGTGATGGATTCTGTGCTCAGTATTGACTGAGAACCTGACCTGGCTCCTGCTGAAGACGGTGGCAGGACTCCCATTGACTTTGACGGCAGATGGATCTGAAGTGGAATGTGAATGAGCAGATATGTTCTGTATGTTTAAGACATTTATTGACTCTCAGACTTCAGTTTTGCCCAAAGCAGAATGAAGTTAAATAATTGTGGGTTAATGATTTTTATTTTGACACGAGGATAGTGATGGGAGAGGTAAAAGAGAAGTGCTCCTCCTAATTATATTACTGATATAACAGGATATAGAAGTGTGCAATAGGCCCTGCTACAACAAAGCAGATAAGCACAGGCTTAAAATTAAGCATTTATTTAAGGGTTTTGCTGAATAAGGATGAGATCATTCACATACTTAAAGTTAAATGCATGCTTAAGTGCTTTGCTGAATCTGGGCCCAGATACATAAACCATTAAACAGTCACTTTAAGAAAACGGTGGAAAGCTGTTATACAAATTCTAGACCTTTTAAGTCATACCTCCTACGTTTCCCACTCTCTCTCTTTCTTATTAGCTTAAGGAGAAGGTTTTTTAAAGCTCCAGTTCACGAAAAATTATAATGTTCATTGCTACTCAATTGTAATTCAAATTGCTCCACACAGCCCCAAGCATGTGTTCAAACATATAATCAAGCAAACAGGAGACTTGAATCTTGCCAGTTGGAATACTGTCGGTCGCAGATGCCACTTTTTTTTTCTGTAAGCATAAATGAAGCTGGGGAGAAAGGTTGATATAAACTGGCTTTCGCTGTCCATTTTTGGTGCTCTGTTCCTGTGGCTTAGGTTATTTGGGTACATGTTGCTTTGTGTCTATGAGGGCGTTTTTTTTTTTTTTTTTTTTTTTTTTTTTTTCCTCTCTCTCTCTACTGTGGTCAGAGGAGTAGTACTCATCACCTGGAGTGAAGGCTGACAGGAATGAACATAGGCAGGAAGCAGCGTGACACACACATTGTCATGCATGACTGACCAGCAGCCATCAACAGCAATTAAACATTGAGAGCACTGGATCTTTTTGGACAGGTTCAAGTTTCCTGGCACTGCTGTGATTAGATGTTTTGCGCTGTTTCCCTGTAGTCAGTATGTGACACATTCCCTTTTGCTTGCTCTTTTCCGATATTTATTTTTGCACTGTCCTGGTGTTAGCATCCTCTTATAGCAAATGAATCACTTAGAAAGAGATCGTTTTCAAGGAGATTTGCAAGGAAGGCTAAAGATTAAATGGATCTAATAATTAGCGATTTTTTTTAAACAAGAAATGCCCCTTTCTGTTGAACGTTATAGTGTTTGAATGTTTTTTGAATAAGCATGGTTGTCTATGAGTTTCAATGAGAGAAACATCTGTGAATGGCAGAAGCCACTGAAGAACAACAGAGGCCTTTAGTTTTACCCAAGTGGTTGTAATTTTATTTTAATTTGAGATGACAAAACAAAATGCCCTTAAAGGCAATGCTGAAGTGAAGAGCGGCTGCAGTTAGACTGAGCTGTCACTTGCTTGCCCTCATTTCAGGGCTGAGCTCCAAAGCATCCCCACTGCCCAGCATTTAACTGAGGCCCAGACTTCCCGGGCAAGGTCCATGGCTTGGCACAACATCCTGCACAGAGCAACTCTGCACCATAGCACCAGAGGTTGCAGCAAAAGGCCTTTTGGCACACAACTCGATCTCATGTCTAATTGAATAGTCACAGGGTGTGAGGCCAGAAAGTCTTATCAGAGCTCAGTTCTAACCCCATCACTTGTCAGTCTTTCCTTTCCCCCAGATCGAGTCCAGAATCTCATGTGTGATTATTAATTGCTTCTGTTAATTTATGGCCTTCTAGACTCTACTAGGACACAGAAAGTACACTAATAAACTGGTGGATTTCTATGTAGGAAACTTTCGTGCCTACATCCTTTCCATCTTTTACCTTGCATGTGCATGACATGGCCCCAAACATGATTTCAACCAAAAGAAACAGAGGTAATCAAAACTAACGTGATTTCATCATTCTATGAGGAGTAACTTGAGAGGGCAGTGTAATTTTAAATCAGCTGTGCTCTGCTGTGCAACAACCAGTCCAGCCACAGGGGCCAGTGAATGCATTAGACTTTCTTCCTGTTAATTCCCTCTTGCACAGTTAATGAGAGTTGCTCCATTCTTGCATCTGTTTCACCTTTATGTTCTTGCAATAGCATTTAGAGGCCAGAGCAACCCGGGGGCCTTGATAGCACTGACTTTTGCTGATAAAATAACTCTTTAAGAGTTTTTTCGATCAGATAGATGGCTGAGATCATAGGGCAGAAATAAGAACTGCTATAAGAACTTTTTCTGAATTTGTAATTCCCAGAGGACATTCTAGGCTGTCCTGTTTGTTAAATAATTCTGCTATTTTGTGAAGCATAGTATTGATAACACTAAATAGTCCTCAAACGAACTATGTGAAGCAGAAAATGTAATTATTATTTCTGTAATGCAGATGCAGAAACAGGCACAAAAAAAAAAGATGAGTGACTTGCCTGAGGTCGTACATTAAATCAGAAATGTAAATATAACAAAGTATCAGCCACATCTCCTTTCTGTGTGGTGTGGGTGTATGCAGGAAAAGATGGCTTGATTCTACCTTTTTGTAATTATTCAAAGACTTTCTATGTTTGTCCTAATATGTCATCATATGTACCTCTGCAGATATTAAAGAAGAGCATCGGATGATTTTGGGAAGAAAAAAAAAAGAAAAAAAAAGTAATGCTTGAAAGTTTTCAGAGCAGATGAGAAATAAACAGACCAAGCACCTCAGCCTGGAATGTCATCTTCATCTGTGAATCAGAATTTGGACCTGCTGCTGATGAGTTGGAAAAGCAATTGTGGCATGAACAATGAGACTTTGGGTTGACAGCCTAGGGGAGCTATTCGACAGCTTCACAGACAGGCTTCCCAATGTAAATGAAGATGAGAAAGTGCATGAAAAATCGATCATGCACTAGAGACAACACTTACTTCATTAACTACCTTCAGCACTCACCTCTTGAACACTGTTAGTAAACCTATTATGTCACAGCTGAGATGCAGCTGAAGATTTTGCTTTGAGAATTTAAACAAAGCTATATAAGAACGCAAACCAGATTAAAAAGTAGTACCATGTAAGTCAACTGCTAGTTGCTGACATCAGTAAAATATTGTCTGTTACTATCAGGAAACATGGGAACAATGATTAAAATTTCCTAATATTGCAGTAAAATTTTTAGCTGTTACCTGGAAAAAGAAAAAAAAAAAAAGAGAGAGAGTATTCTGCAGTGTGTGGAATGCAAATATTTCTAATAAGTGCTGTCATGTGACAGGGATACTAACAAGAACTTCTTAGAGCTGAGGATCTGTTTTTGGAATTTGCTCAGGTAAGTAATGTATATAGATATACAGTCATACAAGGGCTTCTCCAAAAGTAATGCCTCCTATTTTAATATGTTGACCCACTATGTCAGAGGCAGATATTGATGGTATAACAGTAGAGGTTGAACCTTCCCATCAGTATCCCATTACATGCTGTTGCTGTGTGACATATAGCAGCAGAAGGGCAGTCTGATGGAATGGCATCTGACATGCAAGTGCATATGAAGCGAATGAGTGTCATGAGTTTCCTCCATGTGGAAATCACTGCACCCACTGACATTCATTGACACATGCTGTGATTGTCCATGGAGACCGAACAGTAAATGTGAACACAGTGAGGTGGTGAGTGGTGCATTTCAGCAGTAGCAACGGCAACAGTGGGTCGTCTCTACTGATGTAGATTGTTATGAGCGTAGCATGCAGGCTCTTGTTCATTGTTGGTGAAAATGCATAGCTAATGGCAGTCACTGTATTAAAAAAAGACAGAGCTTTGTAGTTGAGATTTTGTCTATCAATAGTTTTGTTGTGCTTTTTGTGTCTGCTGTTGTTTCCATAGAAATAAATAGAAGGCATTACTTTCAGAGTGACCTGTTTAAATTTAATACGGGAACACTGAGTCTTTATGGCATTCAAATGGAGATAAGTGATCTAAATTCTTTTCATGAGGACCTGAAGCTTTATTGCTTATGAAGTTCTGATAGGAACAGACTGGGTTTTGGTATTTGTTCTGTTTCCTAAACACCTTTTTTCTTTATTCTGCATTCTGTTTTATGATGATAACTCTAAACAAGGTAATAGGAACCAGTCCTATTTAACATTTTTGTAGGTGACACAGACAGTGAGATTGAGTGCACCCTCAGAAAATTTGCTGATAACACCACTTCACTGTGGTCTGATGAGGCCCTGGCACAGGTGCCCAGAGGAGTTGTGGTGCCCCATTCCTGGGGGCACTCAAAGCTAGGTGGAATGGGGTCCTGGGCAGCCTCAGCTTGGGGGGAGGGACGACAGCTCTTTCCACAGTAGGGCTGTTGGAGCTCAATAATCTTTAAGGTTCCTTCCAACCTAAAGAATTACATGATTCTAGAAATAGTAAAGAAGCATGGTTATTGATTAGAAATGTCTTTGCAAAGCAGTATTTTAGTTGGATAGAAAGATATTTGCTAATTAAATTTTGGAAATAGAATTTCATATTCAGTTCTATCTGACAATGTTTGCACTCTTAGAGCATGCTCTTGAATAGTAGGCTTTAAAAATTGTAATAGCAGTATTATTTTTCTACTTAAACAAAACTGCAAGCTCATATGAATTTGGCACAGGATATGTAAATCTAACAATATGATTCCTGTTGTTCACAAAGATAGGAAGCTTAAAGGAATGTTCCAGCAAATAGTACGTTACAATAACTGAGGCATTTTCTGATGTATTTGAAATTACAAAATCAAATGTAGTTTTGAATTTGTAATTTTGAGAAGAAAGGGGAAAGCATGCCCTATCTGACTCTGCATCAGCAGAGAGGATTTGGACAAACAGAGCATAAAGTTCTTAAGCAGCATGCTGGCTGGGTAGACCAGTAATGACTTGAGTCTAGTAGCAAATCCTCTGAGACCTTTAACAGCCTTAAATATTCAGGTTACACATTATGGAAAAGGCAGCACTTTTGTCTCTACAGTCTCCCACAGAACTGGGTGAAAGGAGGGCTAAATGGTTGCTGCTGTTGCTAGCAGGTATTTTCTTACCTATGGGTACAGGGAATCCTTGTTCGTTGTTCACAGAATAGTATATATTCTTGGACTGCAGATAGGCCTGGATGAGCTTTCTGGTCCAGACAGTTCCAACTTGGAATATCTGTTTGAACATCAACAATAGGTTGATTTCTGATTTTTAATATCTGGAATGTGTGAATCTAAAAGATTTAATCAAAATGATATCAAACATGTTCCATCTCTCATATCAAACCCTCTTTTGTTAAAAACAACCCACAGATGTTCTGTGTTCTGAAAAGTTGAGCAGTTATTGAGATATGAAAAAGAAATGATGCTCTGAACAATCTGAGCAAGAGATTCCCACAGCACCTCAAATGTGTTAGAAGATACCCAAGATTTATTCTTCCTTTTTCTCTTTGCTTCTTGCATGTGTGAAGTACAGTAATGGACCCAATCCAAAATTTATAAAAAGATTTATCTTTTTATGATCACTCACATCCAGTAGCTAAAAATCATCAACTGTCATAACTTTCAAAACTCAAGGTTCAGGTTGTACCTGCAAGGCAGCTGGATGCAAAGTGAGCCCATAGAGGGGGCAGGAAGACCAGTGCTCTGTTGCAGATCATAGCATTGGACAGGGATTTACTGATGTCAGGAAAAGTATGTGATAAAAAGTACTGTATCCAGACAGATTCAAGTCCCACGAGTTCATCCTGTCCTTTGCAGCATTCTGTGAATAGGTGTTATAACGTGATGGCAGTACAATTTTCAGGGGAACCTTCCTGATGCCTTCTTCTCACTGTTATGATCACCCTGTAGCTTTGATTTTCTTGAATAAGAAAGAAAATCACAGTTAGAAGTTCTAGAAAACAAATACTTTATTCCCTTCCAGAACATCAATTGCTATATTTAAAGAATGCAAATAGGATTGAAGTATGCAAGAGGTAATTTCTTTGCAATTTTAATTCTGTCTTTATTTCACCCTGAAAATACTAAACCAGCCTGACAACATGCAACAAGGAATGCAGTACAGACAGGAATAAAAAGAAAGCTACTAAGCAAGAGGAGATAAAACAAGTTGAACTTAAACAAGGGTTAGTGACCACCAAGTTAGCAGTGCTTCACCCACGTCTCCCACTTTCCAATACCCTCCACGCATTCCTTGTTGCCAACGGCTACCACTTTTCTCATTCATTCTTCTGCTATTACTGGGTGTGTTAGAGCTTGCTACAAGCCTCAAGAACACAGATAAGATTATTCTCCTTCTCCTCTTGCACAATGCACATAACTGAGTGCAGCAGTGGAGTAGTGGAGATTGACTAAGATCTCTTTTAGCTCCAAGGCCCTTCTTTTCAGAGTATGTAATGTTTCTACCTAGTTTAATTAACATCTGTGCCAATCAGAGCAGCTGCCTATAACATAGAGAAGGTTAGCTGAGCATTCAAGAAGATAAATGAGGCAAGGGGTTGCCAGGGGGATGATGGTATGTCAGATGCACAGTGGCTGAAGCATAAATACGTATCCCCATTAACTATACTCCTCCTAAATCTGGGGGCAGAGTTAAGACTTTAAGACAGGGATGATGCTTCCTTTAACTTTACATTTTTGGGCTTTTAAAAGTGTGAATACAGATGTATTAGATGTTCTAAATGGGTAAGCAAGCCCATCTGTTGATTTTAACCTTGTACAAATAGTGGCTAATAGAAATGATTAAACATTTGACAACTGAGAAAGATTCTAAGAATATGAATAGTGTTCCCTTCAAGATCTCTAGGAAAAGAAGTGCTATGAAAGTTCAAATGCAAAAATACCTCAAAATTTGAGGATGTGGGATATCTCACAAATTGAGTTTCTTTCTTCCAACCAGATGTATCACATCTCATGGCCTTGAGAACAAGTTGGTGCTAAAATAAACTGGAAGCACCTGATCAACATAACCTACCCCAGTTTAGTGCACTTCTGAAACTTTTATAATTTTCAATTTTGGTTTTGGATTTTCTAATTAATTATTTATTTTTAGATTATTGGGAAAACAAGCTACTCTTTCCTCCTAATGACAGCATTACAAACTCTAATTGTTAGGCATTATTCTAGCTTTGTCACTGACATGAAACTGGTACTACAAATTGCAGATCTCATGCAACTTTACATTGCACTAGAACACACTCTTTGGGATTAGTATTTACCTACATACTAATTATTCTGTTTAAATGCCTTAGCTTCTTGATGTTTTATTTGCCCAAGTACATTACAATGGTTTTGTAGGGAAGAAAGCTTCTTTATCCAGATTTGAATAAGGAAAAGTTAGCAGCAGTCTTTAAAACGCTCCAAGAAATAGTTTACAATTCTGTAGTGGAAAACAGCTCCAACCCCTCCCCCCACACACACACTTTTTTTTTTTTTTTTTTTTTTTTTTCCAGAAACCTGAAATGCTCAGAAAGCAAGTAATCTCAGATTTACTTACTAAATTATTTGGTTTCTATTTTACTCCAATACAAATATCTCAAAAATAGTTCCTTTATAGTTCCTGCTGGTCAACATTAGGATAAAAGTATGATGATAAGTTTATTCTAAAGCAATGAGGGAAATTAACTCCTGTTTTCACTTGTGCATCCATAGAAAGTTCCACTGGCAATAACTTATTAAAGTGTATTTTTTAATAAATCTATTACTAACTTCCACTCAGCTTTTATTCAGAGCAGAAGGTGCTTGGTCTTGGAAGATGAAGCGCAGAGGGTGAGTCATGGTATTACAGTGTTTATCTCTACTATTGATTTTCAGTATAGTCACTTTGCTTCAGCAAAGGCTCAGCACCTCTGTAATTGGATGAGCAACCCAGGCCTCCGAAGAGAGAGGATGTACACTGAGGTGCTCACACAGAGATGGGCACAAAAAGACATTTGTTCTTTTACAGCAAACTTGCAGTTTGAGAAAGAGTGCTGCTTCTAAGAATGAAAGCTAGAGTGAGCCATTATGTCTCTCAACAAAATAAAAGGGATTAGCATACCTTCTTCCCTTATCTTCTTCCCTGTGTGTTCTCATCTGAAAATGGAGCAAAGTCAGGAACCACCCCAGCTGCACAGGGCAATTTGAAGAGCAGAGGAAACCTCTTCTCAGGTAAGTGTCTGAGGGGAGCTTTCTTTTGTACAATGAAAAGATTCAACATGAAAATTCTAAAGTCCTTTACAATGTACAAAAGAATTAATTTTGTCCTAGCTATTACTCTAGCAAGTATTAATTAGTTGGATATAGTGGATATTATCTTGGCTTCTCTGTAAAAGCTGGACAAAGCAGAGTACCACAGACATTTATTTAGTACCTGAAGAATGCTGGTGCTTGTCAGAGTAGTTCCTCAGTGCCACAGCTCCCTTAGAGGCAATGTGAGGAAACTCATGCAAAATTTTTCAGTTCT